TGACCCCCTTCCAATTTGCTAACTTGAATAAACTACTGTACCTGACTCATCTCCACTCATACTGCTTCTCCTTCTTTGGCTACTCAAATCACCGTCGCCTTCTCTGAACTTGCTCTTTTCGCCCAGCCTTTTCCCTCGCTCTTCCGCCCCCGCTTTGTCCACCCACTCCCCCCTGTGTTAGCATGATTCTGGCCTTCTCTCCTCTCACCCCTACTATATCTTCGCCACCCGTGTAATACAGAGCTTTCCTCTTTACAACCTACTAGTTGCACTTGGCTTTTTCCTACATAGAACCATAACGTATCCAAACCTCCTTAAACTCGCATATCTATCCACTAATCACCCTTTAGGAGTCGGCTAGAATTTTGCGACTAGGCTCCTTCGCGATCGACACAACAGTAGCATGTCTAACCCCCAATGCCGCATTAAGTTCCCACTTTGCTCGTCCCTAAGGTGCCTCTTTCCCAATTTCGCGCTAACCTAGCCACTCCATAATCAGATCTTTAGTTTTTCAATTAAAAAATTAATTAATTATTAAAAATAAAAAAGAACCGCCCTCCAAGGGGGTCGAACCCTTGACATTTGGCTTAAAAGGCCAACGCTCTGACCAACTGAGCTAGGAGGGCTAGCTTAACATATTTCTTATCCTTTCATTAATGAATTCTCCAAAATAATAATTTATAATTCAAAATAAGGAATTATTCTCTTTTGATAAATTCCTATATAAAATCTAAACAAATTATTGATTATAAACTGGCTTGAATTAGCTTTTCTATAGATTTACTCATTTATGCATAATCCATTATTGAATTTATGTAATATTTATAGATAACCCTAAATCAATTTATTGAATTATTAATATGAATAAATTATTTCGCTTTGCCAAAGTGATTGCAAAATCGATTTTCAAACCTGTTTAAACAAGTTTTTATAGGATTCCTTAAATTAATCAAGTTATAAGTGATGATAATAGAAAGAAACACTCATTTAATACACTCGCATTCTAGTAATTTAAATTAATATATATATTTCTAGGAATCATTTGCAAATAATTTACTTATAAAATTAAGTACAAATACAATAAAAAGTATAAGCAGGCCTCTCGGAATTAGGTAATTAATTTTAAACTATCCCAAGTAAAAATCAATGCCTAGTTATTAAAATAAACAAATTATGTCAGGTTTGCAGGAGACTATAGTCCTTGCGTTAACCCCGAATAGTTTGTTCATGCTTTATAGTTTTATAGATATGGAGCCGTGGCTTAATTCTATAGTATCGACGATTTGGAGACAACCAACAGCGGTTACGAATCAGACCCAGAGGTTGAATTTTAGGATAGCCAGATTCTATGAAGCAATGGCTAGCCAATGGATTTATTCTGATGGTTTTATTTAAAATGGCTTTTATTTTAATCATCTTTTAATATTATAGAATTTTCTATCAATAAACTTAAACATAGAATAGATGATCTATCTTTTGGATTGATAAATTTTCATATAATAGTTTGAATAAAGCTGGGAATTAGGAGAAATGTAGCTGTATACCATCTTATTGGATTTTGATGATATTATCAATTAAAAATTTTATTATTAAATGAATAAAGAGAGTGTGCCAATGTTTAAGTTTATAGTCATAGGCGATCAATGTAAGTGGGTATGTCAGACTTAGCTGTGGGTAAAAGTAGCTTTGTAAAATAATATTCCGAATCCATTTTCATTGAAACTCATAAACCAACTATCGGAGTAGAATTTGTAAAAAAAATGGTAGTTGTGGATAAACGCAAGGTTGAATTATAAATTTGGGATACTGTATTTCAGGTCTTATAAAATAGGCTGGATAAGAATAATTTCGTAGTATGATTAAGAGTTTTTATCGTGGTGCAGCTGCAGTTTTTGTTTTGTATAGTGTAAATTAAAGAGATTCCTTTGAAAAATTGCATGAATGGTTAGGAGAATTACAGGAGAGTGCTCATGAAGAAATTGTTAAAATTTTGGTTGGAAATAAATCAGATTTGGATAGAGAAATTTCAATATAAGAGGCAGAAAAATTCATGAATGGAAATAATTTTAGTTTATTTTTTGAAACATCTGCCAAAACAGGATAAAATGTAGAAAAAGTAAATATAGTTATTGATTTTAAGGTTTTTGTAGAAGCTGTCAAATTAGTAATTATGCGTATGTTTACAAGTGAATCCTTTAAAAACTCTATAAAAACAATCAAAAAGACACCTGCAAATTCTAGACAAAATACTAGTAGAAACGAGCTATAAGATGATTCGAATTAAATACAGAAACCAATACAATTATAAGTTACTCCACAAGCACAAAAACAAGAAGAAAAGTAATGTTGTTGAATATTAAAATATTGTCATGTATTATATATAACATTATTGCATCCAATTAATTTAAAAATTAATACTCAATTAGTTAAATTTAAGGAAAGAGTTTTAATATGATATTATCTGAGAAAAGAGAGTTTATTTCTAAAATGATATGAAAAGGAATTTTTAATTAAAGAAATTAACTTTTGAATTATTTTAAAATATTTAGCATTACTTAATTTTATAGTAACCATAAATTACTAACAATTTCATAAATTCCTCCTAATATTCTATCTATGTTAATCATGTAATGCATTTCTCACAATATGTTAATATTAATTTAATAAAATAATCTTCGAAATTTAGTCTACTTTATCCATATCTAATTTATATTTATCCCAATCTAGATCATCATCAGTTATTTATTCTAATTCTTGACCTAGGTTATTATAATATAAGGTGAAAAAATTAACTAATGATATTGGATAAGATGTTATCACAACTTTGCCAGAACTCAAACAAACATAGAGTGAATGGCCGTTGTGTTCCTCTTCAGCATGTAAACTCAAGTTGCCAGATTAATTGTTATTACATGAACCTAAGCAATATGTTTTCAAACAAAGTAAACAAACAGAAATATCTTTACTATTTTGAAAGTTTAAGTTAAAAAAGCCACACTTTTTGCATAAGTTCTTGATATATCTAAGTCGAAAAATTTCAAAATTATTTCCCAATAGTGTGGCTATTTAATTTGATATTTCATTTTAAATTTGATAAAAATCTGCAATACATTTTGATGATATTTTATATTATTAACTATGAAAGAGTTTCTCCTTGAATTCTATTTCGAAAAAGTTAAAAAATATTTTAACTATGTCATCATTTTGTATTGGCAATGATAACAATATATTTTAGACCCCCTATTAGAACTCATTTTTACTAATTACTTACATTACATAATTTTCGATCATCAGCATTATATCCAAAATAAATATTTATCCTTCTTTAAAATTGAGTATCTTTTACTGATATTTTACATTGCTATAATTATACCTTAGAATTTTTAAAAGTTGTTAAAAAATCTAAATCTTTCCAGATCTCTAAAAGTCAACTTTTGACACTAACATTTAGATCAAAATATTAATAAGTAACTAATAAATCATTTCGGGTACAATTAGCTCCTCATTACCTTGATGTTTTGTTAATAATTCTTTATCTAAATTTAGCTCAATTAAAGTTGCCGATGCATCTTAAATAAATTAATCAAAATGAACCTCAAGTAAAGTATTTGGAAATAAAAGATTGCAACTTTATTAGCAAATAGGACAATGAGATATTAACCATAATGGTAAGTCTTTATTGAATTTATTTAAAAATGAGTTTACTAGGCATTCAAAATGAAACTAATGCTTGCAACTAGATATATAAAACAGATTTAATTTCGAGTCATTTAATAGGTTTTATAATGTAGTCGGCATAGTCTCATATAGGTCTTATTTTGCAAATGTTTAGATTAAAATAGGGGTATATCTATCATTGTTGGTTAAGATCAATTTACATGACTAGCAGTAATCGTTTTCATCATATTTTTCTTATGGTATTTCTAATTGAACGTTGAAATCTAATTATTGATTAAATTTAGTCTATTTCTAAAGATATTTATTTTTCATCTTGCATTTATCTGAAACCAATATTTAAGTATTTTATGATTATAATGTGCTTGATCCTATTTAAAATATTTATTTTAAATTATCAATAATACGAGTCATATGTGTTACACAGGTTTAATCATTAGAATTTTATTATTAAGCAAGTGAATGTATTAATGCAAATACCTCTTAATCAATCATATTTTATTATTTAAATAAAATAATAATCAAATAATTTAGTAGTTGATAAGTTTATATGGGTTATTGATGATTCTATTATATTTAATAAATCAACTATTAAATAAATGGTTTATTAGCCAGTAGGAGAAACTTATCAAAAAATATTTAATTTGCATTTGGATTAATTTACCTGATGATCTCATCAGCTTTATATTGAATGTAATTTCCATAAGTGATAAATTCTTATGATTTTCTTTGATCTATTAATCTGTCTAAGAATTATCCTTAAATTGTTGTATTTTTCTAGAATAAGATAGGATCAAAATATTATGGAACATCCTTTTTTAGAGTAAATTTTTTAGATATCTAGTCCAATTGACATACCTCTTAAACAAAATTCTGTATTTATTAATTAGTTGCTATTTTTAATTATGATATGTATTTCTTTATTTCATTATAGCTCAAACTTGAGGATTGATTGAATATATTTATTATTGCATAATGAATGGTCGATTTAAGCTAATCAGGATATAAGTCTATTTTTTCTTCTAACATTTATAAAACATTCCAAAAATCTATATCTGATGATATTACGTTTAATAAAATGGAACTATAATTTATGAGGATAATTACTTATAAATTTAAGATGCTACAATTTAAATAGGAATTCTGAAGTTTTAAAATACATCATCTAAAATCAATAATCCATCCTGCTAAAATAAAAATAGGAATAACTTTATGAAAGCAAGATCAATAGATTCCAGTTAGTTATTTATATTTGAATATTTAAAATATAATTTCTTTTATGAATCAAAATTAAAAGAAATAAAATTTTAAAGGCATTCAATTAGTAAATAATTAAACAATTTCTTTAAATCCTTCAAGCATTCTATTCTAAGAACTTACATCAAATGTTTTAGAAATCCTTATTTATCAACAAATTAACCATCAAAATACTCAAGAATTAACATTTCAATAAAAATTAGATTTGTAACTATGGGTCTTTTCAAAAGTTTTAGACTTAATAGCAGATATGCATCATATACTTCTTTCTACTTTTATGGAAAGGCCTCAGTGTTTATGTAATCTGAATAGAAATCATCAATTTATTCAAAATTTCTATAATTTTCCATGTCTTAGATTAATTGTAAATAACATTGATACAAAATTATTCTTGATAGATTTCTTTTTCCAATCTGTTTGGGCATCAGACTTCTCAAGCTTTTAAGCATACTATTAAATATCTTAAGTTGAAGTGAGATATAATTAATAAGAATAGCAACTGTAATTAGATCATTTTATTAAACAACAAGTTTATCGAATTTGAATCTCCTCGTTTCCTTTTTAACATTATTATAGGAATGGAGCAATTATGTTAAGAAAAATTGCCTTTATTAAAAATCCTCATAATCCTTTTCGGAAATGATTGTCATTTAAAACGAATCAAATTTATCATCTAAAATTTATTTGAATGAGTTCATGATAGCATACTTAAACCATTTGATTTCAATTCTAAATGTTAATAGATTTAAATGTAAATATGAAAAATCTTAACTATACTCAACATTTTAAAAATATAGTTATTGACTCAAAATAAGGCTTTGTAGATAAGGAGAACAAATTTTAGGATTTAAAAAGGTTTCTATCGTTTCTTAAGGACAAAATTGTGTATGTTGACCTCTAAATAATGTTATGTATAAATAAACAAAGTTCTTCTCGTTTTCTAATTGATGTTTTTGCAAAGAAAGAATTTCTTGTGATTCGTTATATTCTGTTGCCTTTAGAGTAACGACATTTTTCCCTTTATCACAATTTTCTAATTTCTCATGTATAATTTTTAACTTATTGAAGACATCTTAATTTAGTTAGTAAAATTTATGAAATTTGTGAAAATTATTCATAAAAATTAAGTGTGTTAGCTATTTAAATTAATCGTCAGCATGAAAAGCATAAAAAATTTATACTATTTATTCTCCTTTATAAGGTCCTAATGATTCTAAAACTAATTATCTTTCAAAAATGTCTTGCAATATTAATTGTTTGGAATTCGTATCAATTTGTTATAAAATAGTAGTGATCAAAAAGATATTCTTATGATCAACTTCTATAAACCAAGATATAAATTTAATTAATAGCTGATGAAAATAAAGTGCTTTGCAAAAGCTTACATAATAGTCCTATATACCAATGGCCTCTTATATTTTTTTCAAGTTCCATCTAACAGCAATATCATAAATCTTAACATAAGTTGGAAGGATGAAAGTCTTAGGTTGAATTTCAAGGTATAGCTAATTTAAGATATTATTGAGACATTTAATAAGCATTTAAGTATTATTTTGGATCTCATCAGGTATTTATGATAGAATTTCTTCTTTATTTATATGAGCATGACCCTGATGATGATCACAAATTCCTAATTTAAGAGAATTAATATCTCCGCAGTCACAACATCCACTAGTGTCCTTAAGAACAAATTTATGATCTAAAATATTATTCATAATACTTATGTGTTTGTTAATATCAAAGCATTTGACGCAAATCATATGATGAGTGTCTCCAGAGCAATCAAAACATTGAAAACTCAACTCTCCTTTTGGAATATGAGCTCCACATACAGAATGTACTTTTTATTTATGATCTTATAATTATAAAGATTTCTTTGAAATCAAAAGATTGTACAATTACTCCATTTCTACTTGTTGTTGATTATTATTGTAGAGACTTTACAATTCTGATTCGATTGTTTCCATTGACATCATGATTGATTAAAATATTTAATAAAATATTTTTATTTTTGCAATACTTTTAAAATGAAAAGCCTCATTTCTGATGAAGTTAAGAAAACTTAATATAATTTTTTTTAAGTCTTTAAAATTAAAATTATACATATTTATTCTTTCAATATTTCATTTATATTCAAGAAAATCAAAGAGAATTTTTCCCTTTAATTTTTGAATGAAATATAAAATTTTAATTATTAATATAAATAAGGAAACTAATATAATTTAATTGATAGAAATAATAGTGATATGAAATACATTATTGTAAACCTAGATTAATTAATATTCAATTCTTCCCTATATATAATAACTTAATTTATAATCTTGTGAGGGATTTAGAATGATATATCACATAATTTTATTTAACTCAAAGTGAATAGTAAATTATAATTGTTTATTAAATATTTGTGATGACTTATTAATAGCTTTATTATATATTGTAAATCAAATTCATAATCTAAATGAACTTAATCTCTTTATTTGCATAAATTCCAATTTTAATTTATTAATACAATTTTATAATGGTTCAGTATATATGATAATAAGAATAAAGTTTAGAATAAAGTATTTAAAGGGAAAAACACACATATCCTCAGAGTATATAATTTTCCACTTACCTAATAAATAGAAGATTTTAAAAAAGTTAAGTTGATATCACAAATTAGACTTAATTTAAGGTACAACATAAATTGTTTTCAACCATTCGTATAATCTAAATATCTCTTCGTTATTTGAAAGGAATAGTAAGTTTGCAAAATTTGAGTGCATTTATTTCCACATTGTTTATTAAGTATTTTAAAATATGTATTAAACTCTTAGAGAAATGAAGTTAAAGCAATTGATCTCCTGATAGATGTAAAATATAAATATAAACATAAAGTCATTTGTTTTCCTCCAATATTCCACTAGAATTGCATCGTGAAAGTGATTTTTTATTTATACTTCTCTTTCGCAAACGTTCATTAAATTAGTGTTCCTGTTAGTTAACACTCTTTTTAATCATGGAGGCGTGTCTAAACATTTAATTGAATTTATTACTGATCCAACTTCTCATGGTACTCGTTGACCATGCCCTGCACTTGTTCTGGTTAGTACTTTACAACTTAGATCACTTATTCTTGAATTGCCAACTTGATAGATTTCTCTTTTTTCTTATTGCGTATGTAGTGTTCATCTTCTTCAATGGGAATGGGGGATAGATTGTTAATTTTTTAATTAACGGGTGATTGTACTTCAGTGACAAGCTTAGTTTTGAGACAGCTGATTTACTGCTGCATTTCATAAAGAGCATTTTAGATTTTATCGACAAAGTAGTATTTGATGTCATCTTTGCGACTGTCATAAAACTCTATGCATTGCTAATACATTTGCACTACTTGATTAACGCGTTCAACAGTGCATTCTTTGACAATCCTTTATTCAAGTGTGGAGAGCATAGTGAAAAACTATCTTGTAAGAGGTTGAGGACGATCTTATTTGAAATATTCCTCAGGTGGTACTATGCACATGTCTTCTTGTTAACGAGAATCAGATTTAGTGCGTGATCTGCTACCTCCTAATTATTCGAAAGCTTGTCGAAAAATTCTCATTCCTAATTTAATAATTAAATGATGTAATTTTGGAAGAAGACCTCGATAAATAAATGTTAAATGTCTGAATTTTGTTATTTCGTAAGGAAATTATAGTTATTCTACTAAACCAAAGTAAAAATAATATTTAATCGAATTGCAGTAATTCTATAATTTATATCAGTATTATACATACGATCAGAATTTTCTTCTGTTCTACTAGTATTGAGTGTTAGCTATGGCATTCGGAAGTACAGCCCTAAATTTGTAAAATCTGAAATGCTAGCCTTGCTACACGATATTAGAGGAGAGGTTCAGTTCATATAAAAAAAAGGAATCAATATTTTTATATAGAAAGACGAATAGAGAAGAGAAGGGAATGAGAGAGAGTTTGGAGTTGAGGGTTACTCTATCCAGGTTTGGGTTACTCGAATCATGGATAAAAGTTATTAAATAGTTTTATGAATCACTCTTGAAATTAATTGTAAATTTAAATAGGATTACGAATGGTAAGGATGATCAATAATTTTATTATAAGATAATCTTTCAGCATGGTTCTTGAAAATAAAGTGGATAATCAAGATATCTCTGAAATTCCCAGTCCAACAAAAGCGTCTGGAATTGAGAATAGATTGAGAGGAAATGATGACCTTAACCAAATGTAGAAATCTAATCGGAAGTACATGAAGGTGACATTGCAGACTAAATAGCTGCTCTATTAAATGGTTCAGATGGAAGGGATAAAAATAAAGGAAGTAATGGAAGATATAAAACTTACATAGGCTGCCAGAATTCTTGGTATCAAGTATGCAACAGCCAAAACGATAGTGTATCACAGAAGACAAAAGCGAAAGGAGAGGGGGAAGTGCGGGCTGCGAATGTGTGGTTATACTGAATTGGTGGATAATCGTGTTTCTCGTTTGCAGATAATTTCGATAACTGGGAACGATGCAAAGTAATGCAAGGAGTACATTCTGTGAATAGGGGATTATGATCTTATGTTTCTTGTTGTATAGGAATAATCGATATAAATAATTAATCCTTTATATAACAAAACTATGAATGAGGATACTTAAATAGAGTCCCAGAATTTGAGGTATGAAATAAAGTTAAACAAATCATAAGAAGAGATGTTCAGTTGTTTTCTATTCGTTTTTCGATGGTTTTGAGATCTGAATTCAACTTTCTGACTACATCATCTGCGGTGATGTTGGTTCCCATTTTCTTGTTGTAGAGAGCGGCAATGATGGCCGGATTGCTTCGAATCTCTTGGATGGGGACACTCTTCAAACATTCAGTTAGAGCACTGATGGATTCATTTGAATTGTTCATTATAATAATTATAATATTATCTCATTTATTATTTGGCCATTTGATTTTCTTCAACAGATAGTCTATTAATATTTCAGGATTGTGCATTTTTAGTGTGTTTTAATTAACCCACGATACTTTCGGTGCAAGGTTATTCTTCTGCTTCCAAGAAACTTGGAATAGGAGGTTTTGACCATCATTGTCCTTCCTGATTTACAAAATTTCATCTGCAGAATCACCATCATCATAGTTCCCTTCTCCAACTTCTTGATTCTGTTTCTGCTTCAACGATTGCTCGAAATCAAGCACATAGGTCATGACAGATTGTAGATTTTCGATTGGTTCCCAAGTTTTCTCATTGTCAGAATATCCCTGCCATTTTACCTCGTATTCAGTTCTTCCATTCTTGACTCGTTTATTAGTAATGGCCTCAACCATGTATTCTTCTTAAGAGGACACAGACACAGGAGAACCCGACATCTTTAATTAAATTAATGGCGCCCTTAATAAACATCTTGTACTTAAGAGCCATTTAATTGGCTGCTTTTAATTTGATAATAATCCCACGATAAAATGGCTGTCAATTGAGATTCATTATAAGTGATTAAATTATCATCTCCTCAGGGGATGATTCAATTAACTAGAACCGCCCAAGTGCAGACTCTTATGAAGAGGATCTCCCCATAATTAGTAGTTCCTTAAGATATTATGATTTGATTACACTATATAAGATTAATTAAAAATAATTATAATTAATGCCACCTAAAAAGGATGAAGTTGACTTGAATGCTTTACCACCACTCAGGCATCTTTGTGTGGGTATTCGAATTGAAGCTGGGAAGGCTCGAGCTGCCAAGTTATTAAACTTACTCAAGGAAACCAAATCATTTCAGAAGAATATAACGAGAGAGGAAATAATCAACTTTTGCAAGGAGAAGCAGTTGTATGTTGATCCTGCCACTTTAACTGATAAGCAAAAGAAAGTACACTTGTTATTTTGATAGTAGGATTCTAAATTCATGGCAGAAGTAGCCACTGAACTCACATCCGAAGTTATGAATAAGGGATTTTAGATGTTCATTTAGGATTAAGTCCTGTCGATAAGGAAAGCCAAGTATTAAGCAGCTCAAGCTTTAGCAGCAGAGAAAGCTGCCCCGCCAAAGAAAGACGACAAGAAGGATGTCAAGAAGGGAGGCAAAGAAGCAGCGGCAGTTGCACCAATTCCAGAACCTGAAAAAGTTGTACCCGAGAAGGAGTACACCAAGAATTTTGACATCGTTTTTCTCGTTCAAGGCTTCCCTCAAGTACCATAAGAATAGATCGAATTAATCATGCATGTCAAAGAGAAAGTCATCAATTGGGGCGGTGTTGATATGAATCTATTGGAACAAGGAGAAGATTTCTAAGAAGAATTGGAAAAGCGAATGGAAGAATTCATACAGCCAGTTACAATTAAGAGATCCTACTCAGAAGAGTCTCTACATTATACTGCTGCAGAAAGGGCAGTCATTGAGGAAATCAAAAAATAAAGAAATGGTTCCCAAAAATCAGATCCACTCAGACAACTTACAATTAAGGAATTGATCTTGGAAATGGATTTGGAAGTTGAGGAAGAAACACTCAAATAATTCCATGAATAATTGATTGAGGAGATCTGCCAATTTAGTGTAGATCAATAGCAATTCAACGAATGGATTGTGAACAAGAAACCAATTCCCTTGATTACTAAAGAAGCACCCAAAGATCCATTCGATTTAGAAGTTGAGCGTATCAAGCATGAGGCTCATTAAGCAGAGGAGTAACAGAAGGCTGCAGAAGAGGCAGTTGCTGCAGAGAAGAACAAAAAAGGAGCCAAGAAAGAGGCTAAGAAAACAGATGCTGAATTGGAGGCTGAGAGATTGGCTGAAATAGAGAAGAACAAATAAAATGAATTGAGAAAATAATAAATTGAAGAAGCTTTGGAATAGCAATAGAAAATGAAAGCAAAATTACATTTGTAATATTATAAGCGATAATTATCTGATGTGCAATTGTCAAAAGTAGGACCTTGTATCCTATTAGAATGTTTATTAGATTAGTTATCTGCTGAGGCTGCTTATATTTAAAGTTCTAAAGTGCCTCCATGTTTAGAGGATTAAGAAGATGCAGAACAAGTTAATAGACTTTTGGCAAATCAAAAAAAGGAGTAACATTAAGCAGAAAATGCCAAGTAATTGATATTGGATGAATGCGATTGGATTGAAGTAAGAGGACACTTTGGTTAATTACACGATTAATAATTTATTGTTGAGAGAGAACACAAGATCTTTGACAATTTATGTTTCCCTGGCATTGATAGACAAGGCATGCCAGAAATAGCAGAGAAATCAGAGAAATTACGAAAGGCCAATAAGGCTAAGTTGCATCCATTTATTAATGTAGATGTAAGTGAATTTGAAAGAAGACAACTACTTTTGTCCTTTGAAGAATTGCTCAAAGAAAATGAGCCTGAGTAAGACTGGTATTTGGGTGACCGTGTCTATTTAGAGAGACATAATAAAAATACTCTGAAATAACAATTTTATGAAGCATTATTACATGATCCTCAAGTAGTTCTAAAATATTTACCCGATGATGATGCTCTAATGGTTTGTTGTTATTATAAGAATCCTCCTGGAAGAACACTAAGAAAGAAATGGTCAGCCGAATGGAGAGTTCTACCTAATTTGGAATACTTTATCCAAGTTCGTAATTTTAATAGTGAATATTATTATGATATTGATTACTAATAAATTGGGGCTATTACTGAGAGATCAAAAATCATGTATCCCACTGATAATTCATTAATAATTGCAACCAAATTTACTGTTGGAGAGGTAGAACGTATAAGATACAGAGTTATTAAAGAGAATCTGGTTTTTGGAATACAGGGAGGGTTTTATGCCTAATTTAGAGATTTGAGAATGAGTGCCTAAGATTAGATAATGAATTTGACATTTAAGAATGGTCTTTGCCTAAGGTTTACTCAGAAGGGAGAAGTGGTTTAATAATATCTTTATCAAAAACCATAAGAATAGACTCAGACATTGCTAAATTTATATGATAATGCAGAAATCAATCATGAATTAGAAATTAAAAGAGTGATTACAGGATAAGGAACAGTAATAGTGTATAAGAAGGATGGATCAATCATAGTATTATATGCAAATGGTAATGTCTCAATGTACAAAAATGACATGTGGATAACAACTAATAATAAAGGAATTAGAAAATCATAGAAGGGAATCGAAAAGATCCCATGTGCAATTAAAAATGATCCTGAGAGTGGTGCCAAAGTGTATATTCGAGATGATCAAACTCTCATCATTTACTATAAAGATGGATCTCAGTATACTTAACATTACGATGGAACCATAATGCTTATAAAAGGAGATAAGGTTATTGTGGAACATCCTAATTTTGCTAGTGTCGTAGTCACAATTGACAAGGTCAAATAGAGAACTGGAACTATCATTGGAATGGGCAGTGCTTATGCAAATGTAGGTTTCGACAATATCTTCGAAAGAAGTAATGATGGCCGAGTGGTAGAAACCTTTTATTAAGGGTGTAAGGTGATCTCTTATATTGAGAAATAAGAACTTCCAGAATACAAGTAATACAAGACTAATCGAATTCATTTGATGTACACTCATGATGGAAGTGTTGCCAAGGTAGTTGATGATGGGGAAATTGTCATCGTCACTGCTGAGGAGAGAGTCAGACTCAATAATAAAGGGGAGAAGAAACAATTGGGATAAGACATTGACTATTGGTTGTAACTGTTTTCTGTTTCAGAAGAACGTAAGGCTGGAGTTTATACTATTGATTTGACCAGAAAATGCATCTTTACAAAGGATGAAGAATCCAATTATTTCTAAATTGATGAAGATGGAAATGTTACATCTAAGATTTCAGTATCCTTAAATCAAGAACCCTCTACTCCTGATTACATTCCTGATGGCTTATTCGTGGATGAAGAGAACAAAGTGCTTCCACCACCAAAGTCGTGGGTTCCTCCCAGATTATTTTTAGTTAAAAATGATAATACAGGTGTTGAATTATTCAATCAAACTCAATTACAGGATTACTTTAGACTTAAATCAGAAAATCCATTCTGCACTAGATTAATTGATGAATTACCAAACAATGTTAAATCTATATCCTTCATCACTGAGTTGAAGAATTAGACCAAAAAGTTCATTGAAGTCAAAATACCGTAAACACTAGATATTGTACCTAAAACAGTTTAAAAAACTACCATAATTCCTCACAAAGTCTTTACTTATCGCAATTTCTTGGAGTACCTTCCATTTGATAAGGATCAAAGAGCTCTTCACGAGTAATCATTGCAAAAGTATGAAGTCTGGCAAAAGGCTATGTAGAAAGCTTAGAATGAGTTTGGAGTTATACAAAAGTCAGAAGATGAAAGAGATGCTGAGTTTATTATTTAAATGAAGATCCTGGAAAGCAGAAGAACAGATTATTCTTATGAATCCTACGATTAAGCCAAAAGCAAGATCACTTTGCCTGACTCTGCATCCAATGTAGTTGAACCCCTAGAATAAACCCTGGTTAGAACAGCCAAAGTGCAATAAGTTGTCTAATAAGCCTTCGTTGATGTTCACAGGAAAGTGCAGACTATTTAGATCTAGAAGTCTATGAAACCAACTTCAGAAGCCAAAGGGTTTGTCTAAAATTACTTTGATACAAAGGAAGGACATGAATATTTGAAAACAGCCCCTGAAAATCCTCCAATCAAAAAACCAAGAGAGAGAATAGTCTAACCTAAAGAAGAAGAACAGCAACAACAATAGATCCTGCAAGAAACTTAAAAGACAATGCCAGAAGGAATCATTCCTTTAGAATAACCTTAATTGCCTACTCCACAATATAATGATACAAATAATCTTACAAAAGTGATAATTAAGCCTTCAGTTTTCACTCAAGCAGAAATCGACGACGAGGTTAAATAGAGGAAATAACTTGATGAATCGATCAGATATAGATAAGTAAAGAAGAAGGATTTTGATGTCTATGGAAAAGAGAGAAAAGACTAAAAATTGGTGCCTTGTCTCCTCAAAACAAACCCAAAGTCTGAATTGAATTAGAAGTACATTCTAACAGATGCATCAACAGACAATAGAATTAAGATTAGTTCAATGGCAACTCGAGTTTATTAATAGGCTGCTCCCATCAGTCAAATTAGAAATGAAGGCATGCATCAAACCATCATAAGGACTTTGGACAAAAAGAATAATTTGGATGATCTTATAGATAAAAAGAATCTCATGGTTACGAGTGATATCAATGATAGATTAAAGAAGGATCTATTGATTTATCCTGTTAATGTTCAGTTTGGAGAACTTAAACAAGGAGGATAGTATGAATTCAAAATCTCAGTCAAGAATGAGGATATCATGGCTTAACGTATAGTTTTAAAGTAACCGTTGAATACAAATATTAAAGGGTTGATGAAATAGATGGGCTCGGTATTTTAATTTATTTATACTTCTAGATATCCCTCGGTTTGGTCAGAGAGGTCTTTATTCACATCAGCGCAGAAAGAGTTGGCCAATTCTCTGATGAACTCTAAATCATGTCAAAACATTCCATCTACACAATACCAATTACTGGCAATGTACTTGAGTCGAGTATGTTTGATAAACTCAACTCAGAATAGATCAAACTCACCAATAAACCTCTCTTAAGGAAGCATGTTAAAGACTTGAAAGCTGTATGACATTTTAGTTATTATTTGCAGTCTAAACAATAGGACATAATTGGAGATAGCTAGGATTCTGATCTGCTACCGAAGATCAACTATGACAAGAATGTCAAGATCGATGCTTTTTAAAATCAGAAGAAGGAGGAGTAATCATATGAGGAGGAGAATTGATTATCACAATTTATAATAGATATAGATATTAATTCTAAGACAGTAGAGTTATGAATATCCCATAATAGTTATTTTAATTAAATCACACCTTAATCTTCCTGATATTCTTCCGCAGTATGCTTTACATTGATTTCGTCTTTTCCAAGAAGTTTTTGACTCTTTCATCTTCTTTAAATTTATTGGAACGCTTAAGATTTTCAGCAAAGCTCATTGAATCTATTTTGACATTGTCTTTGAGACATTGACATGTTTTTGCTTCCAAAAGTAGAGGTAACCAATTGAGAGTGGCTAAATTGACAGCCTCAGCAACATTGAATCCACAATTAAAGCCTTGATGATAGGCTCCAGCAAAAATAAACATAAACTCTCCTTGATGATGAGCCATTTTTGAAATTCTAATTTCGGGTATTTTCTCCTTCAGCAAATATGGGTTGATAACTGTAGTTTTATGTCTCAAATATTCTGAACACTTATTAAAATGATCACCATATTACTGTTTGGCATATTTTTCAATGAGATGACTATCAGCTTCGGGTATTGAATACCAGAATCTAATTATTATAATATATTATAATTTACTTGTCTTTTCCAACATGAAGATAATTAACACTACAAAGATCTAGGTCTTCTTTGTGCCAAGCAAAGAATGACTTCCATGAACCAACGTATATATAAGGTTCATTGACTCCTGGGATTCGGTTCTTGAGTCCAAAGTTGAGTAGGCTTGTAATTTGGTTGAGGTTCCAAGAATTGTTGACATCCATCAGACTTAGTTTAATGTCAGCTCCATATAGAGGAGGACTGAAGGCTAGACTTTTCCAGTAAAGCTTTTCCAGTTGGTCTGAATTTAGTTTTTCATGTTATTTATCTATTTCTGTTTGTTTAGCTCTGTAATCCTTGAGAGGCATTGACTTTTTTAAGATGTGTAAACATTCGTAGTTGCCCCCCTTCCCATAAACATTCTGCTCAATAGGACCTTAAATAATTAGATTGTCAAGAGATTTGTTGTAATCTTGCTAGCGAATTCGGAAGTTCTTTGGGGGAATGATCTATGAATTAATTTAAAAATATAATTTACTTTCACCATCCCGTAGTTGGATGAATATTATTTATCTATTTTCTCAATGTAATCATAGAAGTTTTCGAACTCTTAGGGTGTTGGCCGTAACACAGGGCACTCCTCAATGGTTGTCATGTTTTAAATAATACTTAAATATCTTGGAATCAAACAATCCCTTTGAGCACCCCGGTGAGACAATATATACATATATATTAAAAGGAAAGAGAATGTAAGAAACCTTAAAGGTTGAGAGATAGATTGTCTCTGGAGTGCGATTTGGCTGAGTGCGTCCACTTAATTCCCTGCTTCATTATGGGCTCTTCCATCTGCTCGCCTACAACACTTTAATTAATTGATATATTAGAATCATTATTCCGTATCTTCTATAATGTACTCGACACCTCGTTAAGTTTTTCTTCTCAAATGAGTTTTAGACTTCTCAATCTCATTGAAACCATCAATTTGTAAAGGCTAAACCACCCTCTTTATCAAATCGCTTTTATGTGCAAACATTGCAAATTAACAGTATGAGATACTGCAATTCCCTTTGATTACTAAAACTAATACTGTCTCGTGATGCATAATTGTGTTCATCTTCATTATTATTTTGTATTGCCATGATTTGAATAAGACTCTGCAGACTTTATTATGTTTATTTCTGCTGATCAATCGAAGTGTTGTCTTCTTCCTAATCGGTAATTTGCTAAATCATTTCTGTTTCATATCCTCTCTTAATTTGATCCCAAAATCATCCTGCTTAATGAATAAACCTTGCTTCCCATCTCTTCTAAAATTATTATGTTTAAATTCTAACACACCATGGTTGTGTTCTTCTTGAATTCAATCATGCTCAATTATCTATCTTCTATTATGATATAATACTCAAGAGAAACTGGGTAAATTCGAATATCTGGAGTAATCTGGAAGTAGGAACTGTTTTGATCTCTCATGATCTTCTAATACCAGAATATGTCCACTTTCATCAAATCATGTTTACACCTGTTCTTAATTTCCTCATTGTATTAAGGTTAGTCAAAAATACAGAAATTAAATGTCCCTTCTCCATTAATTATAATGAATAATACAGCATAATCTTAAATTATAAACTCCTGAAAACAGATTTTGTTTGAATACGCTACTCTAAATCTGAAGCAAGTTTGTCAGATGGCGTATTCTTAGACTACAATTATTCCAGACTCCTTTGATGAATGAAAGTTCATCTCTCATTAAAAGATTTATGGTGATTGATCATGGACTGACTTTAATCAGCCATGACCCATTTTAAGAAGAAATCATCAATTCCCTTTTTTATTTGATACTACCCTATTCATATTTCTAACCCTTATCAATAGAAACCAGATGATGCCTACTATATCAGGGGAAATTTAAGATATTTCAATTACATTTCGCCTCTTAAGATCAAAGCAATTAATAATCAAATCTAACTATTTTGAGTACCTCTTGTTTAGACCAATCTGAAAGAACCCAATAATATAAAACACAAGATTTAGTCTTACTCCAATAAATAAGGTTCTTTAATTTAACATTCCTTGAGTTTTTAGAACTAGCTGAATAACTAAAAACTTATACAAAAGATATGAAACTCACCACTCAAGAAAAGAGTCAATTAAATTGGGATAATAAATTTGAATCAGATGTACAGGATTTTTTGTGCTTATAAAGATTTGTTCTTTTGATAAAATCTATTAAAATTATTGGTCAAGCTTAGAACACAGATTTAAATAAGCCATTAAATATGTCGAATAATAATTTCATCTAAGGAGTCGTTAGGATATAGAATAACAATATGGGAGTAATCACTCAAATTGTCTACCATCTTTATTTTAACAATACCAGATGGAAATGACTCTTTTAGATAATAATTAATCAAAACAACCAAGATTTAATCTCTTTTATATATGAAATTTAATAAATAGAATAACAAGAAAGGACTAATTTTATTGAAAAACTTGAATACTTTGAATTTCTTATCAAACATCTTCCAATCATTAAGATATAAAACAAAATTCAAATTTCACAACAATCAACAAAACTTATTAAGAAAGGTTTTTAAATAAAAACATAAATAATTAGATTTACACAGTTGATTTTTGTCTCATTTATTATGGATCCCTACTTAATTAATTAACAATATCTTTGAGTCGATAGTATCCTTTACCTTAAGAATTTCAGTGTTATTAGTATTATTAGAAATAATGTATATATACCGAATCAATCTCACTAAATTAAGTTATTATTATATTAATTCTAAATCTAATTAATGGTTTAAAATGATTCTGAAGCCACAAAGTAATCCTGTGAATAGCAGACAGGATCCAAGAAAATCACCAAGCAGCATGGCCACTGGAATCAGGCAGAGCACAATACCTATCTCAACTTTTTATTAGAGAATGCAAACCACACCAAAGGCTAAAGATTATTTAAGAGAATGAGTTAAGTTGTTGGCACTCGTACACCTAGTTAATGCAGGTAAGAACCCATAATATAAGATCGCATCACTAAAAATTTAATCCATAAAAGGCAAAATCTTCTTATATAGATACAAGATTTTAGAGATCCAAGCAATGTGCCAGAAGCTACTTCGCTTAACACAAATAAATCGATGAAGATGGCCAATGAAATGACTTTTGTATATTATACTCAAATGTTGTTAACCTTATCCCAAGATAGTATCATGGCCAATTCAAAACTATAAAACATATAAAATTGAAATCAAGATTTTCCACTTCTCTTTAAATCCACTTTTCTTTCTCTGGTTCATTTCCACCTCATACTCATCAATCTCTTTGAAAAATACCTTCTGTAAATTTTAACTTGCCGCATTTTATATATATTTAAAACTTTTCTCATTTCCTTTGTTTTGACTGCTATTCTATGATCCGTCTTCAAAGTTCATTTATTATTACTCATGTGAATCGAAATCCTCCACTGTTTCTTGCTATTAATGTTCATCTATAATATCACTTTCAAATATTTATAATTCCAAATATACTGCTTAATAATATCATAAATATATAATAAAACACACAATTGTAATCATTTTAGATATTTCATTCTTATCCTTATATTACATTTAGTTAGTAAAATTCCTCAAAGAATTCAAGATTAACTATCTATAAGGTTCTTTATTATGATTAAATTTATTTTAAATCATTATTACATACTTTTTAATAGGGTTAAAACTGATTTTATATCTTTAGCACTAACTAAACATTAGAAATTATTTTTTAATTCTTCTTATTTCTCTTATAATATCACTTAAAATGTTTAATTACCCTTATTAACGTATCTCTTAAGAATATAAGTAACAATTCCTTTTTAATAAAACCCAATCATCCCATTTTATAAAGATTTAAGTAAGTAAGCAAAGATAAAATATCATGAAGATAATAAATTTAATATAAAAATAAAAAATTTACTAGTTCAATTATATTATAAAGACAAAATTGATAGAAATGTTGTACTTTACTGACTTCTTTTGCTTAATTCATATAAATTACTAAGAAAAATTGATCTTGGTAAATAATTCTTAACAATTATTATTTTTAAATAAAATTTCATATTGTTTGATTTGAAAACACTTTCTCTCTCTAAATTTTAGATATCTATAGATTTTTTTTAGGAAAATTTAATAATAATTGATTTATTGAGATTATTTAATTTTAATATACCATATTTCAAGATATAATATGATTATTGCTCTATCTGATTATCAATGAAGTTGATAGAGTCCTAAGCAGACAATTATGGCAGAGAAAGATAAAAAAATATTATTAAAAGTAAATAGTAACATGTAAATAGAAATGCAAAAATGAATTGTTAAATTAGTATAATTATTACTTAAAAATTATATAATTAGAATTCAGTAGAAAAATATTATTTTATTTTTAATCAATTAAGTAATAATATTACTAACAATGTTCAAATAGATGATTAATGTAAATGATCTAATTGTTATTATATATGTGCATTCAAAACATATATACTACTTAGAAATTCTAAATATATATAATCTAATTTTTAAACCTCAATAAACTAGGATTAGTGTTAATTAATCTAGTATTTCAAGTTGTGAATTAAGTTGTTTAATCGATTATCATTTTATAAAATATTAATAACGGAGTGTTACTTCATTTAAGCATAATAATCGAATGCGAGGAGAGCATTTAAATATAAACAAAAGTGTTATAAAAAGAAAGAGGGATTTGAATAATTAGAGGAACCATAGATAGGGGATTGGAAATTGTTGGTATTATGGGTAATAGTGTTATTGATAAAAATTATTTTATATTTATATACTTATTGTAAGAGATTAAACATGCGAAAACAGCCTCTGAAATTATTATTGGAGGACAATGATCTCGAGATTATTAAGGCAAAGACATTTGATTCACATTCTCAGCGTAACGGTACTAGTTTTTATTCAAACATATCGGATGAACATGAATAATTTAGTGATGGAAAACGATATCAATGTGATTCATCATATTCTTCAAGTAGTCTACATAGTTCTAGAACTCTTGCAGACGAAACATTGTTGCTAAATTATTAAAAGCGTCTAGGTAAATAAAATAGATATGAAAAAGATCCTGAAATCCTATCAGAGTAGGCCAGATTTGTATTCCTCATAGGGAATTAATCGTCAGAGGAATGGCTTGCCAATTTCAACGAGAAATGCTTGAGAGTGAATAGCTTTTTCAAGGACTCCCTTTTCAATTCCTTAGTAGAAACTGCTTTTAATGGAGAGGATTAGAAGATGAAAAGAAAATTGGTTCTCACTTTAGATTATTTTACGAATCTGATCACATTCACTTTCTTCCTTCTTTGGAAATGGATTCAAAATGAAAATCAACAGGACATGTCATAATTTGTTTCAAATTCCAATTCCATTACTGAATTCATTGTCTTGATGATAACTCTAAGAATTAATGAATTCAGGATGGAATGGCAACTCATAACTTTGATAGAGTAAATTGTTTAACCATTCCCTGAAAAGAACATTTTTAAAGAATGTTCAGAAACTTAGAGATCCTACTTATCAGTAGGCCTATTCCAGCCTAAAATCGCTTCGATTCGTGTCAAATCCAATTCAGTATTGCCTTGGACAACGGATGAAGTGGCTTTCGTGTTGAGTTTTATGAGTTAATCCTTTTATGCAGGATTATAAATAAAAAATGTGATTGTTAAGGGAGGATTAAATAACGTATAAATTAAATTTCTAATTTTAGTACTTTAGGAGAATCAACACAATTTCATAGTTCATCATATATTCAGTAGTACGAAGTCCAAATAAACACGATCGTCAAGATGCATTAAGATATTGGATAGAACTAGCAGAGAAATTATAGAAAAATTATGATTTGGAAGGATTATTTATAGTGTACAAATACGGCATTCAATTACTCTTAAAGGATTACATTGGAACCATGCCAATCCTGTTCCGAGATCAAAACAGAATACCTCGTATTAATGCTTTTTATGAGGAACACATAAAATCTAATTTTAATGATGTTCAAAAAAATGAACAGCAATTTTACATTCCTTCATTTCATAAATTCATTACTCAAATTAAGCGTTTAGAACAGCAAGTGAAAATGAATAAGACATTGTTTGATCAAATATCAGATCTCCTATTGTAATTAGTTTCAATTTCTAAGAGACAGCACAAACTTCATCAAGAGACGAGTGCAAAAGTAATTCTATTACATTATATTTCTTCTTAGATTTCTGATCATGAGGAATAAATAATTCAGTATTTTATAAAAGGAATAGAAAAAGAGTTAGAAACTAATCTCTAAATTCCTTTAGATAAAGAAACATTGGTGTACATAGAATTGATTAAATTGGCAAAAATTACTAATTGATATTGAAATGATTATAAAAATGATAAAATTTGTGAGTTTTAATTTCATTTACATTTTGTCTCATTAAATTAAATACACTTTATGAGATAACAATCACCTAATTCAAAATTATCAAGAGAAAATTCAGCCTATCAAAATGATTCTGTGACTGTAAGTCATATTGAGAATCAAAAATTGAGAAAAAGTAAGTTGTCTCAAAGAAAGATAATATAAATAAGTATTAATTATAATCCATTATTAGGATAAAAGAGAGAAAGACGATAAGAAAAGAAATTTAGAAAATTAGTACAAAAAGCAATATATAGAATATGAATCACAGCAAATGATTGATAAAAAAAATTGGGAAGGATTAAAGAATTTGATTAGAAAGAATAATAAATAATATATCAGCACTTCGATTAAGAATGAACTGTAGGAGAAACAAATAACATCTAGAAGTTTAATAGAAGAAATCACTAAAATTGAGAAAGATAAAGTACCTAAATTATAACAAATATCTGATCTATAAGAAAAAATAACTTAGAAAAAGAGAAATAAATATGTTGATAAAGAAATAGATGATTATACAATGAAATAAATTGAGGGTGAAATTATTGAATTTTAGAAAAAAAAGGATGAATAAATGAAAACATATGGTGAGAAATATAAAATCTTAGAGAAAAATCATAAAATGAAGTTGAAAAAAAAGGAATTTGATGATTAAATTAGAAAAGATGTAAAAATCAATAGTTCTTTTATACATGAAGCAAATCGATTTTTAAGGTTGAAGGACAAGCATTCATTAAGATCAACTAAACCTATCTTCTCACACCAAGAAAACCTGTTACATTCGTTAAGGACACTCAATCTCCAAAATCAGAAATAGGATATATAAGAAAAAATTCTTCTCAAAATAAGGTTGAAATAATCAATTAGGAGCAATTTGAGGAAACAACCGTAAATTAATAAATTCTTAAATAAAATTAAAAATAACCAAGAGCAAAAGAATTAAAGATAAAGTACATGAAAGCATTGATAAAAAGTAAAATTAAATTGAAAAATTTTAAGAATAACAAAATTTTCATCAAAATAATTATTCGAAGGTAACAAGTAGTTTGATTGATTAGGTTGAAAATAAGATAGAATATGATAATTAAATTCAACAGCAAAAGTATATAATTTTCTCTAATATTATAAAGGATGTTTAGGAAACCAATTATGAGGCCAAAGGAAAATTGATGAACCATTTTATTACTTACTATGCAAAATATATATTTATAGAATTAATAACATTTCATATAGCAAATGATAGCGATTTAGAATCCTAATCAAAGTTGACACTGTTGTTTTGGGTATAATCCTTTATTTTTCTATTAGTTAAATATCTAATTTCCAAACTTGGTAAGCGAACTCTCTCCACACTATTCAAACTAAATTTCGGTTTCAGATACATTTATTAGTTTTTATAGTAATCTTGAATTGAGTTTAATAATTGATCTAAATTTATGAATTTTTAATCTTTGTTCTCATGCAAGAGAGATTTTAAGTATAACGAAAACTTGGACTAATTCAAGTTTATATAAGTTTTAACGGATTTGTAAAGATTTATCTCTTCTCTGGGAAGTTCTATGTATTTTGGATTTATTTTGGTAATTTTATATTATCTAAGAAGCTCTGTTTAGGCTTAAAATTCTTCATCAAGTTCAGAATACTTAATTTGTAAACTGGCTAATTTTTTTCTGAGCTTCATTATTTTAAACATCATTGATTCATGTTATACTTTGATGGTTTCTAATTCTTTAGTAAGTTTTTGGATATCCTCAGAACTTAGAATATTATATGATTAAACATTTCAACACTTTCTTGCTTAATAATTATTTTTTCAGCAGTGCTTATCTATAAAGGAGGCATCTATTTCGTTGATAATATCTGGTCAAGTGATTTTATACAAAATTACAAACTAGAATAGAGTTGTTAAATCTTTGGATCTTCGTTTAGCATTTTAATAATAATTTTATAAGAATTAATATAATGGTATTAAATTTTTGTATAAATAAATAAAGTTTAGATAATCAAAATTAATTATCTTTTATTGCTGGATTCTTTTCTTTCACAATGAGGTCTAAGATATCATCATAAACTTTTATAAATTGCTCATCTAGTTTTGGCACCGTAGTTGATTTCTTTAATTATGAATCATTTGTTTGAAACATAGTTGCTATTGTTCTTGGAATTACTTTAATTAATGGTTTGCCTTTGACTTCCCTATTTCTGAATTTTGTAAGAATCACATCTTCCAAATGAGTTTTTAGCTGGCTTCCAACAGTAATATAAATTAATTTTATGAGATACTATTTCTATTTAATTTCTTTAATTGCTTTATGTAGTAAATCATAATCTGTCTTGCCATCACTGACAAGACATAGATAAATACACCTATTTTTCTAGATCATAAGCTTGTTATTATGTTTCGATTAGTTTATACAATGTATCAAATTATTATTAATTATTTTCTAATAATGAGAATTTCCTGTCTCTCCAACAAATCGCTAATTTGTGAGTTTCAGGCAATCTTGAAAATACTTATAAAAATTTGGATTTAGCAGCCTAAATTTCATTGGCCATACTAACATTATCATCAAATAAAAGAAGAACCATTCTTTCCAATTCCTCTTCATCGTCCCTTAATATTATCTATATTGATTTTGGTAAATATTCAAATTCATCAGTTTAATCAAAAATAGCACCTGTTTAATAGATGTTATTTTCAGAAATTGGTTTTGCACGAATATTTATAAATTGTATTACTTCATTTGCTTTCACTTTATCTTACTTTTTAATTAATTTATCCATATCTTTAAGTGTATCATTCAATTCCCTTAATATAGAAATATGCTTATCGAGTAATTCAGTAATTGATTACTTTTCAAATATTTTTATTAATTGTTTATCTATCAATCCCTTTAGATCAGTCAATAGCTTATTTAAATTACATTTTGGATCCTTTTCAATGACTTTTTTATAATTTTTTAGACCTTCTTCAGTAATAGACCAAATAGATTCTACCAGGTCTAATTCTTTTTTAGTTGTTTTTGATCTTACAAAACATCCAAGTTTAGTATTATTAAATTAGCCTTGCATTCTCTTTTTCACCTTATCATCAGTCAATTCCTATTCATTAATTTCTTAAGCATTTTTTTCAACGAAATCGAGTATCTTCACAGGGTCTCTAATATCTTTTTGTAAATCAGTCATCTCCTTCTCGGTTTTCTTCAACTCTAAATTACCTTCTGCTATGTTAGTTGCTAAAAAGATTTAAGAGGAGGCTTGTTTTTTTATATCATCATTTTCATCCTTCTCAAATTTAGTTTAATCTAAGATCTTTTAGCCTAAATCAGCTATTTTGTTAAATGCTTCCTTATAATTATGCTAAGGGTCACTTGCTGTAAGGATGAGTTCTTTTTCCACAGAAATAGTAATCAGTTTCGATATATCACTTGGTTTATCTGTTGGATTTATAACCTCATTATCCAATTTTATTGGTTCTGTTTATTCATCAACCATTCTAAAAAAAGGCTCATTTGGTGCTACTTGAGTTGTAGGTTTTTGTTACACCAAAGTTTGATAAACAGGTTAGTTAGTTTCAAAATGTTTTTCTTGAACATTCAATAATTATCTAACTTTTATAAATATTTCGCTAAACTCTTTATACAAGACATCGACTGGTTGGTTTCCTCTAGTAACTTTAAACACAGCAGGACAAGTTTCGTTCTAATTGTGGATTTACTCTCTTAATGTCATACTAATTTAACCAGGAAATTAATCGCCAACAGCAACACAGATGAACTAAATTAAAAATTTTTCTTTCATAATCTTAATCTATGCGGATACTTCGTTTATTTCAAAGTGCTCTCTTCCATCACTAACAAATAAAAAAGTGATGTTTTTGGGGTAACCTCCACTCAATAATTTCTCAAATATCACATTAAAAGTATTAGAAATATTTCCGCTCCCAGCACTTCTATAAGGAAGAAATGAGTATAAAGCCTGTTCCCATTGATAATCCATCTTTTAATTGCCTAAGTCTGAAAATGTTGCCTAATGTGCTTTTATTATGGTCTCGTATTCATGATTCATTGAGCCTGTTCCATCAACCAAAGTAATCAAGTATGATTAAACTGCTTTCCCTTACTTAGCCATGTAGACTTCTATTGCTTGCTATTGAATCATTCTTAATATTCAGTATACTTATTAATATAGATGAAAAAAATTTTGAAGAAGCCTTATTTGATTGAAATTCTATTAAAAATAATAAATTAGAAATTTTTTCTTTTATTATGAAAATATGGAACGCTTAAATTTTAATTGGTACCTACTCTTTAACTTATGCCCTCTGTTTGATTAACCATTTTTTATCAAATTAAGCTATTCCTAAAGTTACTTTAATATTTCAATAAATATAAATAGTTCATTATAATATTGAAACAACATTCTGAAATATACTTAACTATAATATTCAGATAAGAATAAAGGGGATATATTAAGAAAATCAGTTCTTCCATACTTGATGTGGTAAGCTACTAGTCACAAAATTTGATGTGAAAATCATACTCTCTCAATTTTTTAATAAAAATTAAAATAAAAATTTCAATACAAATTAAAATAGGGTATTTATTTCAGATTGTTGTGTTTCTTTATTTATAACTATTAAAATCATAATTCGTCATTATTATAAAACCATACGCAATGGTTTTAATGAAGATTATAGATAATTTGATATTAATACAAAAGGTTGAGTCTTTTTTGAAATTTATACATTCTTATTCTTATATAATTATTAAATTCTATTTTCTTGTAATTATACACAGAATGAATAACAAATTTAATAAAATAATAATGTAATTCAATTTATTTATTTTAACATAAATATTAATAAAAATGTTAATTAATTGAAAAAGTAAAATTTACTCTTTTCGAATTAAATACAAAAAATAATATTATGCTTATGTTTAATTTTGAATACATCAATTTTAATATTGATAAATGTAAATATTAAATTCATTCCATCAGAGTTCTTTATCTCATTTTCTCCATCAACTTCTTTACAGCATCAGCTTGCATAGAGACTCCCGAGTTGATTAACATCTTTGGAATGCTACCTTTAGGATCAACATTGGCAATAATCACTACTTGACAAGTTCCTGGAGAGATCTCCTTAATCAAGAATCCAGAAATAATAATTTCACAACGCGTATATTTTTTCTTATTTGGAACAGAATCCAATTAGACAGATTTAGCTAAAATTTATATTGCAATTTACAAACAACAAGGTGAGTTCCATCTTTCAGTATGGTTCTTCTTGTTAGAGCAACCATGTCTCTTGGATCGATTAAGACGATGGGAGATTTACCAGCTCCATAATAAATAACATTATTTTAATCTATTTTTTCTACAATTTTGCCCTAAAAATATTCAATTGATTTACTTCCAAGAAGTTTTCATCAAATTCAGCTCTTTTAGTCATATCAAAAATAACATCCATAGCCTTCTTTGGATCTACATTCAATTTAAGCTCAGTTCTGGTCATCTTGAGTCCAACTTGATTTAATTTAGAATAAATGATGAAATCATTTTTATCATGTTCCTTATTCCATTGACCTTCCTGTGGTTACTGATAGGCCATTTGGATCACTTGCTCTTAGATTTCTATGTAGTTGATAAAGATAATAGCTTACAATCCAATTATGTGAGGTAGCTGTTTTACATTAAACTTTAATAAATTAAGAAAATCGATTTCTCATAATCTTAAATATATAATTTTTTAGCATCAATTTCTATATTGTTCAAATAAATAATCAGAAATTGAATTCATTATTTAATTTCACCGAAAGAAGTAATCGTTATGAAGATGGAAGTCTAGGTGAGGTTTATTGAATACAATTGTGATAATAATATTAGATGTTATTTTTAACTTTATAATTTGCCATCTATTTCTGCAATCGTTTTAATAGTAAGAATAAGTATTAAGTAGAAATAATCATACAAGAGTATCCTTACAAATCCAATACGCGAGTATGATTCATTTGAATTCTAAGCGGATGATTAGTGACATATATTAGGATGAATGAAATAAAACTATGTTAGGTGAGTTCGCAAATATAATGGATGATATGGTATTATCAATTGGGTGATGATGAACAATTCGATATCCTTATTTAGATTATAAGACTTGCAATTTGCATAAAATTGGAATATTTTAGGGTGAATTCTTTGCACGCGTTATAATGTCCACAATAACTCTGTTTTCTTGGTGTGTTGGAAGTAAGGAGAAAGATAAAACAGAGAAATAACTTCTTTATAAAACACTTAGGAATTGAATTAGAGATTTTATATATATATATAGATATTAATTATGAACTGCTGATTTACATTATTTTACAATTTATTTCCTTTTATTTAAAGATTCTGTATTTATCTTTGGTAAGTTTAATGTGAGATATAATACGTAAAATAAAATAATTAATGGAAGCAAAGAAGATCATCGGTTTAGGCAGTCCATTGTTGGATATTCAAGCTGAAGTTCCAGCTGAATTCCTTGAGAAGTACGGATTGACACTCAATAACACTTATTTTGCTGAGGAGAAACATTTACCACTCTATGAGGAATTGATTAACATTCCAACTCATTCTCATGTTCCAGGAGGTAAGCAAATCCCAATTATTCTAAGGATCTGCACTCAACACTGTAAGATTGTCAAGATGGATGGCTTAAGCTGGTTAGGATCAAGTAAAATTCATCGGCTGTGTTGGAAAGAAGGACAAATTTGCAAATATGTTAATTGAGGTGACAAATAGTGACGGAGTGACAACCTTATTTGACGAATAGGATCAACCTACAGGTAAATGCGGAGTGTTGCTCTGCAATAAGGATAGGTATTAAAAACAATTAGATTACTTATAGATGTTTGGTTCCCTTGATTGGTGCAGCAGCTCATTTGTCTGAAGCCTATGTTGATTAGCATATTGAGGATATCAAAACTGCTACTGTCTTATTTAGCGAAGTGTATTTCTTGTATCCAAGAGCTGAACTTACAAAGAAAATATATTAAATTGCTTCAGAAAGTGGTGTGAATACATGCTTGACCCTTTCAAGTGTAAATGCAGTAAGTGATAGATTCAACGAAATTTTGGCTGTCCTCCCATATGTTGATTACTTGTTTGGTAATGAAGATGAAGTTGAACAATTTGCTAAGAATTTGAAGTTCGAGGGAGATCTCCCATCAGTCATGTAATAGATAGCTGGGTATGAAAAACATGGACAAAGAGAGAGAGTGGTTGTATGCACTTAAGGAAAGAAGCCCACTTTGATTGCTAAAAAGACTGAAGTTATAACTGTTGAGGTGTAGTTGGTCGATGTATCAAAGATTGTTGACACCAATAGTGCCGGCGATTCTTTTTGCGGAGGGTATTCAATTTATTTTACATTAATTAGTTTTATTGCAGAATTGTTGAATGGTCCAGATCTTGTCAAATGTGCTAAGGCTGGAAATTATTCTGCCTCTTAAACCATCTAACACGAGGGAAGCACAATTCCAAAATATGCACCAGAAAAAACATGGTGAAAAGATATTATTTATGTAATAAATAATAAATACAAAATATTTTCATGAGTTTGAGTTAATAATTAAAGGAAGAAGAAGAGGAAGAAGAAGGACTTAACTAACCTATTCAGCAAGTCTCTACTGTTCCTATTCGTAGGAAAAATAAAAAAAGACAAATTCTCAATCCTTCTTTAAACACTGGACATTGGAGCCAATAAGAACACTAAACTTACTTAGACTTTCTCCAATAACACAAAGAAATCATGGAATCACAGGACTAGAAGAAAAGCAATAAAGTCTTCAAATAGATGAGTGAAATCATTGGAAGTCGCAGTCCTTCTCAATGTAGGTATCAAATCAACACTATTTATCAAATTAGATCTCATCATCAAAAATTCAATCCATTCATTCACCAAGTCAAGAAAAGATAAAAAGGGGCAGGCAAAAAAAAGAAGGATAACCAAACCACTCAACCAATCTAGCATTTCTTTCCTTTCTATTAACAACCCATCTTATCTCAAAACCAACTAGACTTTCCATTATTCCAAACAAACAACCCTGAAGAAGTGCTCTATCCATAACCAATCTCATCAGATAGAAGTCTCCTTTACAATTTCGGTTTCCTTCCATAATTCCCTATCAACTTGAACTACTATACTGATTTTTTTGTTAATTAGACCATGTACTAAAATGAAAAAGAGAATCAATTTGAAGATTAGTGATATTATTCATAATTCAAGTTTACTAAATACTATCATCCTAGTTCTTTTGACTAGTTTTTTTAGTCAAATTTCAAAAGGTTCCAATTAAACAGCCACATTTTCTTTTAATACCAATTACCACTTAAGCAAAAAGGAAGGCTTTTTTGATTCATCTTTTTGTATACTTCACTCATTTGTATTTTTTAAAGTGTTCTTTTGGCGTCTCATTTAAATTCTCTATATATTTTAATTTCATTTTTAGTCATGTCTATCAAAGCCATCAATTCTTCAGAGTAAGAAGTTGGTCGCAATATTAGAAGGTAAGTTTCATAACTATTCCAACTTTAGTTCAAAAAAGAAATATCTATGGAAATTCTCAATAGATGATGCTGATTAAGAAATTGTGCTTTTGATTTCTTCTCTTTCGGGCAAAAAAGAAGTTAGACACAATGGAAGACTGATTTATTAAGAATCTAGGTAACCCTCTTTCCATATCATTTATTTTCAGTCTTTTTTGTGAATTCAGATACCTTCATAAACTATAAAACTGCCTTGTAACCATTGCCCCTAGGCATGATTCATATCAACTTTACCTGAACAATATTCCTTTTGCTCGATATTTCAATGATGGCAATTCAGATTAAAATGAAAATCCTAAAAATGGAACTTTTAACAACGATGATCCTGATGGGGTTTATACGAGTTCTTTAAAGGAGTCTGAACAACAATAATCGAATTTTCAATAGCCCTTGTAGAAGTTTAGACTAAGTGTGCCCAATAAGATAACAAATAATAATTAAAACAAAACAGAAAGCAAATAATAAGAAATATTTTGGAATTAAGGAGTTAATCAAGACTTTGCTGATTTTGGTACTACATAAACTAAAGGAACAGACAATAATTTTGGGAATTTTGGTTTCACTTTTGATACCCCATAAAAAGAAATAAAAAATACAAATTCATAAGTAGCATAACTAAATAATCAAAAATAGAATGAAAAACCAAATCCTTTCTTTGAATTTGGTTAGAATTCTTGGTCAGCTCCTTAAAATAATAGCAATTATGGTTTCATCTAATAACCCTCTCAAGTTTAGGTTTAATAGACAAAATTATTTACTTCAGATATTAAACCTCAAACTAAAACAGAATAGCAAGTCAACAATACACCTTAACCATTAAATTAAACAAATCAATATATTTTATATAATTAATCCAATTTAACAAATCAATAATAATAATACATACAGCTTCAATTATAATAATAATAATATAACTACCAATAATAATAACTAGTCAACTCATCAACCATCAAACCCTAAATATCGTCATAAAGTGATTTATTGGATTTTTTTGAATGTAATTAGCCTACACAAAATACGATTAATTATTCAAATTAACAATAAGAATTAAAAAAGAGCCACTCTTAAGCAGTTATTATGCCTCTTTAAGTTTAATCTTAGAGTACACAAATGATTTTTTAAAGTTATCAAAATCCAATCTAACAAAACGCATTTTAAAACATATAAAATTATTAGTTCAAATCCTCATTTCAACAATAGTTTTAATCTACTTACCAAAATTAGAGAACAACACAATCATTAACTCCTCTAACATCCTCATTTTAATAAACAAAAAGGTAGATGCCAAAAGAACTCGAAGACATGTTTGATCAGCCTATGTAACCTATTTAGCCTCCGTTATAGAAAAGATCAACTCCTTTTGATGATGATCTATTTACCTGAATTATAATAGAAAGACTAATTGAAATATAATTAATAATTATTTTAAAAAACTCATGCAATTTAAAATTACATCAACCAAATCCATATCCTTCTAATCCAATTGTGAAGGCGATATCTAATTTTTATTTCAATTGTCCATAGTTTGCATACAATGGGACTTCAATTGATTTAAAGCATGTGTGAGCTAGAGGCAATTTTCTAGTGTCCAGGTTATTCTTGAATTCAACTGATATAATATATTAACTTTAATCAAATGGAATAGCAGAGGAACCTAAAGGTGGATTAATAAAATTAAGTACCAGTAATGAACTTTAACATGTTCTTTAATGTTAATGAATCAGCTTGGTTGACGTAGGTTTCAAAATAAGATTTGTGATTTGCCTTGCCTCCAGAATATGTTATTTTTTGTAAGATAACTTCTGGCTTGATCTCAAGTAATCCTTGTGTGAACAATGATATCTCAGAAGGTCTAAGCCATTTTTGGAAAATCTTAAAAAATAATCTTAATTTAAATTACATTTAAATCGACAACAGATGTAAATCCTTCAATAAATGATTTATAGATGTCTTTGAATTATTTGTAGATGATGTATTCAGCAGTTTTGTCTAAATACTAGTGCACGTTTTTTGAAGTCACAGCCGTGGAAGATCCATTTGGAATTAGTTCAATGGTGGAATTACCTAATTAATAGGTAAAATCTAAGTAGAGAGATTCAATAGTTTCTGAATTCATGCTACTGAGATTAGCATAATTGGAGTATGTTTATTTATCCCATATTAGGTACAAGTCTTCAAAGACGATCTTCTCATTATACACAACTTTCCAAAATGGGCTTATTATATCAATGCCGATCAAATAAGTATTGGCGATTGCATTAGCAATTAACTATTATTTAAATTAGATTGATACCTTTCCAAATAGTAGAGCGTAATCTTTTTTATTTTTAATCCTGTTGAAATTACTATGTAGAAAATATTTTCCAAGATTGCCTTAAACTGGCTAGAAGAATTTATAGGTGTCGTCTTTTAGAGTGTTGCCTATCATATCATAAAATTCTCTCTTAAGACCTCCAGCATCAATACCAGGTTCATCCTAAAATGTAATACTGAAATTGAAATTCATTTTCTTGTCTGTTAATTCTAGCAAATCCTTCAAGAAATTCAATCTTCTAATCTTTAAAGAATAGGGAGTTGACTTGAAACTTTTGTCTAGTTCAGCTTCAAAATTCTTTTTTCTTTTTTCTAAACAAATCCCTGAAATCCTAATTGGTTTCACTTTTAAAATACTATTATAAAATCATACCTAATTTTTTTTCATTGTTGATCAAAAATTGAATTTCAGTTTATAGTTCATTTATCTCTACACTCTGAGGGATGAAATGAGCCTTTGCATTTATGGATCCACTCTTCTACAAGTTTTAGTAAATGACTGCTAGCATCACCTCTTTAGGTGCAACGACTTCACATTTGCAATCCAAATACAAATCGTTTTCAATATCACCGTATATATTTGAATAGGCATCCTTTATTTAAAATGCGAATGGGATATCCTCATAAAATGGTATAGTGTGCAATTCTTGAGGAAGCTCTATTACACTTTCCAATAGATTAGGCGCATTAGCCAATATAACGAACCTACCCTTGACTCGAACGTCGTCTATATACAGTTTATAGACACCTTTAAAAGTTGGAGTCCAAGTTAGATGCAATTAAAAATTTTCTTCCTTTTACTTTGGAACGTATTGAATTTAATTAAATAGGGAGTGCACAAAAACAACGGAGGTATAGGAGAAACATATGACTTGATTTCCCAAGCTATCCTTAAATTCCATACTATCGATTCTTTCTTATCCTGCTCTAGATGCTGCTTGGATTTCCTATTTGCTTAGCATATTAATTGTATTGCCTACTTGTAACTCCTTAGAATGAGTTAGTGGTTCGCATGATTTGTGGTACAGCTCCCCATCGGCTTTTGAGCTTGAGTTTTTTAATAGGAGTTTCAACATCTTGGCATCTCCAAATCCAAAAGGCACCTATTCCTCTTATTCAAACTCAATATCCTTCTCCAATCCTTCTATTGCAACCTTCACATGAGAAGTCTTACTCAAATCTTAAGTGTGTTTTGTATAGAACGAAAATTCTATTGCATCATCAAATTCTTCTTCAATCATAGACATTCTATTTTGTTAAGAACTTAACTTGATAGTTACAATCTTATCACTATAAAATTCAACCAAGATCGTCTGATTAGTTATGAATTTATATGAAATTTATAGCTTCTCCTTCTTTTTGTCCTTCTTAATTAAATTCTACAGATTGGTTTTTAATTTACCTTTTTCTACTTCAATTTTGCTTAATTGAGGTTCAATTGCCTTATTGGAATCCAAATCTAGTATTAATAGATACTGAGAATTGCTAATGACTTACAAATGCTAAGATTGATCCATATAGCCACTTATTAGTAGTTTGTGAGTGCAAAATATAACAGTTTGGAAGACTTGAAAAGTTTGATCCACCTTGAAGATGAGGTAGAGTTAATCAACCTCCTCAGGATCTATGTTATCCAAATTTTATAACCTCCCTTTATTTATATTATACACTTGCACTTCAACATTTTGATGGTTTTCAATTCCACTTAATAGTGCTCTAGGTTTAATATCAAAATGATTTAGAATTACATCATCTCCAATGTATTTGATTTTTTCATTATACCTATTGCTTAGATAAAACTGTTTATTATTAAGGTAATCCAAGAAGAAATCGCAGATATTGAAATCACTGAAAGTTTCATAATTGAGTATTACATGAGACCCATCCTGATCGAATTGATAGATTGTGTTCTTAAATTAACTCTTGATTTCATTCTATGAGAGAATGGACATTTTCAATTTAATATTCTTGTCACTCAATTTCAACAATATGAATAGATACTTTGCCAATAAAATTATATCAACTACTGTTTTGATGTTTTCAATTTGAATGTCTCCAACTTATTATATATGGAAATTTTCTTCTGTAAAATAGGAGTCAACCTTATAGACTTAGAATTTCAGAATCAAATTGAACAAAAATTGGGCAATCTACCCTTAGTCTGGCACTTAGGCAGCATCATTCTCGTCTATAAGGGTATAGCACTTTAAAGTTCGATTTTCATATTGAATTAATGGTTTTTGATTGTCATAGGTTTTTTCAAAAATAAATTCAATCTTTTCAATGAATGTCTTAATGAAATCTATTTTTATTTTTTGAACTGATTCGATGTCGAATATATGCTGCAATGAATTATTTATCTTTGGATAAGAGTACCCTTCCTTGAAATTTTAATAACCTGATTAAAAGGCCTCGAAGATGGTTTATCCCACAAGGATACAATCTACATAGAACTCTGGATTTTAATTGAATTGATCATCAAAATTTAAGAAAACATTTGTTATTTCGCTATTTTTCTTAAGGAATTTATTGAAGGTTTTCAGTGCTTATTGAGCTATTTCATTGGTTTCAAAGTGACAAGCGATATTGACAGTTGCAATCTCAATTTAATCGAGTTTAAACTTGTCTCCATTGATTCGAACAAAAACATTTTATCCCTAAACTAAAGATTGTTATTTCTTCAACTGATGCATGGCAGTAAAATCGAAATTGATTTAATCAGGAAAGATGGGTGTCAATTAAGTTAGACTCAAATCACTATAAGTGGATACCAAACCAACTCCAAAGAGGTTATCAAGCATTTCTTATTTGGTGAATTCATCCTACTCGCATTAAATTTAACTCATAATAGTCAAGAATTTTGGTTCATTGCAAATTGAAATGCAGCCATCTTGATCAGTGAAAAATACATTCAAGATTGACGCATTAAAGACAGGATCTGATGGCCAGATTGGTTGAAATAATACAATTGACATTAAGTCTTCAATTTGAACATATCTTAATTCTTTGGAGGATGCTGTAATTCCAGAATATTTTTGTTGTTTTCTAGTGATTTTCTCATGCGTTAAGAGTTCGTCATTCATAGAATCTATTTTTTGAAATAATAAGTGTCCTGGTTTGGAATTGTAAACCAATTAACCTGGTTCTAAATTGTTTCTCTGATTCTCGCAGAAGATTAACATACAAACATCTCCCAATTTACTATTATTTACATAATAATTCTTGGAGATCTAAAATCCAAAATGATACACAAGCCTTATATTACTCTTTTGAGTGAACGGACATAATTTCTCTAAAATCTTAGATTTCTATTTAAGTTGCAACTATCTTGTATTTGAGACAACTATGTTCATTAATGTTTGATTTTGTCTCAATGCAGATAAGAGACAGGATAATCTAATATTAAACATTTCATCAAATCTCTCAGCTTTCAATTGTCTTTGTAAAAAACTGTACAAGTCTTCTTTGAAATACTTGTTCAATTTTTATAAGATGTACCAAATTTCCTCCATTTCCTTCAATCTATTCTTGCTATTCTTATTCTGATAGATCTTGGAGATTTCACTTGAGAAGATTGAGGCTAGAGATTAATGATCAACTGACAAAGTAATAGTTTTGTTGAGAGTCTTGCTTAGTTGATTCGAATATTACAGCAAATGTCGATCGACATCCAATTTATTGAACAAGTATTAAATTAGCTATTCTGGATTGAATATTTAATTATAGAAATCATATTCGTTTATGATGTTATGGAAATATTCCTAGATAAATGGATCTTACTTAAACACACTTTTATTCCTCTAATAAATCTAAGGAGCACTTTCCACTTATTGAATTTTTTATTATCTCTGACTGGCTGTTACAATGTTCAATCTAATGATCAGGATGTGATTGTAAAGTAGATAAGTGGTATTTCCAAATTAGAAGATTCTGTCCAACCCTTGCTTTTGATCATTCTCCACAAATTAAATCCCTTGTTATTCATTGAATTCAACATAAACACCTCTGATCACCTTTAACACTTATTATGCTTTTATCAAATTGTTATAGAGTAATTAGTGCAAAATCATGATCAATGTATCCCAACTGAACACTTGTTCAAAGATTGAATATATGTTAATTATTTTATATGAAACTTATTACAGTTCAACCAATTTACTCACTATTACTTCTAAGAATGAGATTGTATTTATTCTCCAGACCAATTTACTATTATCTTCATTTCTCCCTAGTAATTATTGTACTTTTTCTATAAATCCAACCATTTTAGTAAGTATCATCTAAATATTGTATGTTGAAAATAATTAATCTTAAAACACAAAGTGTTAATTTTTAATATAAAATGGAAATTCCAATCTCCAATCTTGCTATTATTTCTATTCAATTAAAGTGCTTAGATATTCATTATATTTATAAAAATCTTAAATTATTATTGAAATTACAGCATCCCCATTATAATTAGCAATGAATTCCTCTTCTGATAATTTTACTAAATTAATTATTACTTGTGGTTGAATGAAATTATAGAACTCAGCAAATATTAGCTCTTTCTAATTTTTCTATTTCTTTTACTGTCTAACCTAATAGGTATTATCAGGCAACAGCTCAAACATAAATTGGAAATCTTCCTTCATAATTTACTATTGATTCATATGTGATTATCTCTGCATCTGATTCCCCTATGACACACCCATCTGACTCTGACTCTAATGAATTAAAGATGGAGGTTGTCCCTGGGTTTGAAATAGCTGCATATCAGTTTATCGAATTTACTCATGCTAATGAGGAGCAAACACATCATCTATTTGATAAATACCAACTTTTTCAAATTATTATTCCATAAGCTCCTTGAAGAACAAACACTTCTCAAACACATTCTCCTTTGCATTTGCAATGATCTCACTAAAGTCAACGGTCGTGATCGAACTGAAATCAAAACTCTTCAAATTCTCTTAGACTTCTTGATATTGTATTAATTCTATATCTATATTCATCTAATAATTCGCTATCTTGAGTTGTGGAATAGCTTAAGCAATCTTTTCCTCAGATAAGTAAAATCCTTCATCCAATTATTGAAGTGGAATGATGAAACCAACGTCCTCGTATGTTATCTACTAGTCTCCAAATACAATGTATACATTTTTCTTAAAATTATTCATAGTAGTGATCTCCTCACTCAATCTATCAATAAATCCTTTCATGATTTGATTAATTTATTAGATACATATTATACCTCTTAAGATAGCTAATTCCTTGGACTTCTCATTTTCTAAAATTTATTCAAAATAAGAAATTTCTTTAAATTGATAATCTTTATTTAATTGCGAGAATAAGAAAGTCTTACTGTTCTCAGTAAGATATGGTTTTTACTATTTGGTTTTGCATTCCAGCTTAACAAGAATCGAATAAATTTCCACAACAACTTTTAATTATTATGATTTAGAAACCCATTCTTAATATTCGTCCTTTTGAATGCACATTAATAAATAAAAGGCATAGAGAATACTTTTGTGTATCTAATCTCTGCTACGATTTTGAACTGGTTTATCATCTCCTTCCTATCCTTAAATTTCATCAGCCATTTTATCTGCTATTTCATCAGCCATTTCATCAACCATTTTATCTGCCATATCATCTGTAACCTCCTCATGCTTATCCTCCACATTTTCCTAATTCTACTCCACATTTTGTGAGACGTTGTTCTCCTCGTTTTTGTTCTCACTTTAGTTTTAGCTTCTCTATTCATTCTCAATCTGATTTTCAACCTTTGTACTTTTCTTTTATTTTTGACTTCTTCTTCGGTCTTATTATTTTTCGAGTTCTATATATGCCTGATATTGAGATTCTACATATTCAAACAATTCAGGAGTTTAATATAAAGCTTAATTCAGAACAATAACTGTTGAAATGGTTAGAACCTCTGGGCTAGTAAGTTGAAGGAATAACTTAGGGTTTATAGTAGCTATTTCATTAAAAATTGGATGTTAATATATTAGATATTTCTGACATTCTCGAAGAAGATTCTCATATAAGCCCTGTTCCATTTAATAAGATCCGTCAGGTTGTTTATATTCCAATAAGACCTATTTGAGAAAAAGAGGATTATAATGATATTAATCTAAAATCTTCCATTTGTCCAGAGCCATCTATATAGTTAAAGCTTTGCTGCTAAAACAATAAACATCATTCAAATTCAACACAAAATTGATGCAAGCTTGTTCATATGAGATTAGTTATACTATTTATTAGCGTCGACTGTCTAGAAGTTTATCTTAATGAATCCCATAAAGTTAATTTTCACATATCTTAGCCTTCATCTCAAAGCACTGAGATTTGAATTCTAAGCAAGCTAAAGGAAGATGTTTTTAGTACAATTCAATAAATTTAGATAGAGGAGTGTTGTTATTTTAAGATTTATTTTAAATGAAGTAATTGACATCGTAATGTTGAATGAATTGTAAATGTTCCTTAGTTATGACATCCTCACAATAATTCAGAATAAAATAATTTTTCCTCATTAAGGCTAGACCTAAGATGTCTTAGTTCTCAGTGCCTCCAATAACAATTCGTAATTCATCTTTTAAAATTTGAAGAGCCTTTTCTTACCCATGTATTTGTATCATGAATGATAAATAGATTTCTTCAAATAATTTCTGTCTTCTCATGAGCATTAAGTAATATAAAATAGGTTGATTATCAATTTAGAAAATTCTGTTGGTTTATTTGACCTAGTCTTTAATGTATTTATTGAAGAACTTAATCACAAGATTGTCATTGAAATTGCCTAGAATAATCAATTAAAAGAGATTCTATTCAAAGGCAAGTTTATTTGGTTGTTGATGAAGTTGTATAGTGTAAAGAATAGTCTCCATATTTCCACTAATAAGAGCAAGAACCAAGTTCTCATAACTAAATTATGGTTTCTATAGGATGTGATTATGTTTACCAAAAACCAAGTACACTTATTCTGGTTTTAATTTTTTTAAGTTTGCCCCAACTCCACTAACAAATCGAGAGTAGAACTGCATTCTTTTCTCAAACTTCTTACAGGATACATCGTATTATGAGGTTGGCAAAAGGTTCACTTCATTTTTAGCATAGAACTAAGTAGCTTTATTGAATTTGAGTTCCAATAATCCTTTATACTTCTTTTTCATTATAGGTACCAATTTGATATTCTGATATTTCATATTCATAATGATGTAATCCAAATCATCGTTGCTTGGATCATATTTCTGCTCTTCACATATAAATTGAGATACAAATAATTCCAGCATCTGAGGGCGTATATTTCTAAAATTATTCTTCACATATTTGTTAAGCGAGGTTGTACAATTTGCTTTCAATAATTCGATATATTCTTTGGATTTATGCTTTAAAAACTTAGGTCCTGCCTATTTTAATAAAATTTGGTTGACCAATATTTCTACCAATTACTCTTTTTATTGAACCTACTATTTATTTGGATATCTCAGAGCATACATTCTTTCATAAAATGGGGATTTTTAAATCAAATTTTTTTGATTAGCCCATTTTTAGACTAACTCAAAACATTTATCATAGTTTTATAATTGTGAATACTAACTAGATTGAAATAAACTGGAATAATTTTAATTTTATTTTGAATATGCTTAATTTTATGCATAAAGTAATTAATATTCCTATTTCTAAATGTATTCAATCCTTTTAACTGGATGATTAATTATTTTCTTCGATTACTCAAATTATTGCTGTGCTCTATTAATAAACATTTGCATAGGATCCTTTTATTTTAATTGTTTCCTCTCCAAAGTATATGTGTGATTTTAACTGAAAAAATAGTACCTCTCCACTTCATTCAATTTATGAAACTCAGCATCTAAAAAGTCTCCCTAACGATCCTTCAGTGATTCATTATAAGGTTAAACATTAGCCTCTATTAACATAGTAGCAATGAGTTCACAAAAATTGTCTTTTTCTTAGATTTACTCGAATGGACCGATTAATTAACTCAAAATTTCAACTTTCTCATGTAAACCATTTCTTAAACATTACAAAAAGTCATTTTATAGTTTTATTTTTTCAAATTTGTTTTATTTTACATATTTTTGGTATTGTTGTAAATTGAGCACCAAACAAGGACTATGTCGAAGTGCTAAAATATAATTATTATATTCAGAATCGACGCTAAACTAATTTCCCAACATAAAGTTCATTTTATATGAGTTTTTCTCTGGATCCTTGTCCAAAAATCCCAACAGGCGATTTAACGAATCTTAATCTCTATTATTATAAGCCTTCATATAAAAATGATGAATTATTTGTATTCTATCTCTCAATTCTTACTTTTTAAGGCCTTCCTATAGAATATCTATAGCCTTAGATGGATTCTAATTGAAACGCAATAACAACAATGCTCTCATCACAATTTTAGATTCATCTGCTTTATTTAAGAGCTAAACTCTTTTTATCATGGGAAATATCATTTCTTGATCTTTACAACATACTCTAATCAATAATTTTTTCAAATTCGCCAATATATCCAGTGGTATATCATTCAATATTGCAGACTTTACTTCCCTATCGCCACAAGAATTCATAACCTCTATTATTTCAAACAATTTCATTCCTTAAAAGTTTAACTTAAGTTTCTGATAGGATTTAAGATTTATGACAGAGTAAAGATGGCAATTTCTTAGGAGACTTAATTCCTTTCTAGTTTCATCTTCAGTGTAATCTAAATTTTCAAAAAGCTATAATAAGTTGTCATTAAATTATTCAATATCCTCTTTGTTTTTCTTAGGCTTCCAATCCAAAGGGAAAAAGTTCTCAGCCAAAAAAGATGCCAAAACCTTTCTAGAAGTCTCGGTAATCTTTAAGACATGATTTAAGCTCTCAAATGATTTATTTTAAACAATATCTCTGAATGATAATTCCGAAATTACCCATTCATATATTAAGGATTAAGGATAGAGTTATGTTAAATCGTCGTAACACTCCTTTATTGTGATTAAGGATGCCAAAAACGGTTTCTTATTCTTTATAGTATACAAGGCAGCCTTCTCTTTGTAATTCTTTGGAATTGGGTATTCTTTCAGAGGAGATATGAAATTTACATACATACCACCCATCTCCCAGTTATAGATGTTTTCAAGTTGATCTTCTTTCATTTTAAAGATGGTACAATTTATGTTTCTTTGGTTTTCTTGATCTTCTAAAATGGCTTGAAGAAAGTTGAAGTCGAATTTTATGTTTTTTGCATTAATGAAGAGCGAGGAAGTCCAACGTTTAGAACTAACATAAATATCAAAATAATCATCCAAAAGATGCAAACCTTTTGGGAATCTGCCAAAGTTATCGTTGAAGTCTAGTTTACTTAGAGTTTGGACATTCAATTCTTAATTACTATTACACAATTTATCAAACAAACTCTCGTTCTTTATCTAATACTCAAAACATTTTATCTTCAAGAATTAGAGAAATTCCTTAAAATTATAAGTGGGACCATCCTGAATATCAACCGCCTTCAAAACTAAAAACACTCTTATCTAATTGATTATGGGTTTAACTCTATTAATCCTTTTGACCTTCTTTTGGGTAGGTTTGTCTGACTTTTACTAATTGTTTCTATTATCACTTCTATTAGATGTCTACTTATAGGTCACTTGACTTGAAGGTTCAGTACGGATTTTCTCTTCTGTTGTATGGATAAGGTTGTAATAATTTTTATCATTAATCACATCTTTGCAAGGTTAATCAAACTTTTGCTTTATGACCCTACCTTAATGTTCTTTAAGAGAGGGATTTTCTTATTAGAAATTAGCAACGAAAGTGATATTTCTATAAATTTCGTTTATAATTTCGTCATCTATTAATAATAGTTTGTTATTAAGATAGAATTTACGAAGTATTTAAAAACCAACCAATTCATTTTTTTGAAATTCTAACCCATTAACTTTATAACATGACTCGAATGCCTTATCATTCAAATCTACAAGTTGAGTATAAATACAATCAAAGTAATATAATTGCTATTTCGATCTACTATCTTTAAAGCCATAAATGGAGTTATTCAACTTAGATCTTGCATCGAAATACCCATGTAAAGGAGTCTTCAACAATTAAGGATTTGAGCTAATTGTTTATTTAATATATTCAATAATGGGGGTTAATTGAGATCTATCCGATGCAAACTTAATTATTTAGATTAATTTCGATATGAATTATGATTGTATATTGATTTCATTATCATTATTATCAATTTATTATTTTTAATAATTGGGCTTTATTAATTCGACTTACTTCTTAACCAAATCAAAGTAATCAAATTAAATCAGTTAAATCAATAACGGTCTCACGATGCCACTAAATTCGTATGGATAATGTGTTGAATGCACATCAAAATTATTAATCCAACTTAAATTGATTTTGAATTTATGCTTTATCACTTATTTCGCAACTTAAATGTACTAATAATAAACCTTATCATATTATGAAAAGTTCTATTCTTCATAACCTTGAATTCTTAATCTTTGAGGTGTTTTGTTATTTTGCATTGATTGAAAGTATAATGAGGAGGGGTTGATCCTTTAATCTTTCCAATCTTATTTATTTCTTTCAAATGCGGATTTTAGAACATTACAATAAATTTGATAAAAATCAAACTCCTTTTAGACATGCTAACTTAAGAATGTAATGAAAAACTCTTGAGGTTCCTTCCAGTAATCCAAATAAGTGACTAAGGGAATCTACTCATTATAGGGTTAGACTAATAAATCTTTTAACAAATCTTAATATTAGTTTAAACTATCAATAAGGGATTTGATTTCCTCAATAGATCTTTTAGATGTATTAAGGCATAAACAATGTATTAAGTTTTTTCCATTCCTTTTATAGAAATGTAATGCCTTTTCTAAAGTGTCTGGATATAAGGTGATATATTCATTGATAACACTGATGGGTGCATTTTAGAATAACATCATCATTGGAGTCACTTAAGTAATGTCGGGCATTAGATAATAATCATTAGAATATTGCATAAACATATCCCATTTATTTTAGAGCGCAATTTAATGAAAGATGCTAAATTACAGTTCTAACAAAATAGCCTTGTCAAGAATTCTGACAGTATTTAGTCCCAATGGTATACATTTAGGAACACTCAAGTTTTAAAATCTGAGATACTTTTTGGCCTCTCGATACAATTCTACAAATCTCTTAAAACAACCATCACTTTTTATAAGGAGTTTGCTTATCAATCCAAACAATTTCAATTAATCTTAATTCTTTAGATCTACATAGGAATCAATATTAGTAAATTCCAGTTCATGTAATATGCGCACTACTTCTTCGGAGTGGAAGATTGATTAAATGAATTATATGGACTATTGCAGTTGTTCCTTACTACTAAAAAATGGCTTCAATTTGTTAATCAATCGATGAGCAGTAGTTTGTAATATCTATCCATCTGGCAACTAATGATTGAGTAGAACATGTTGAATGATTTCGAAATCATTGACGTAAATCAGGATCAATTCGATTAAGTAATAATTTTATTGGTTCTTTAAAGATATGACGTCTATCAGGGTCTTGTTATATTTTTGGCAAATTTCCTTAAATGTATTAAGAATTGGCTTACATTCAATGAATCTAAATTTAATTGCTTGTTGTGAAGTAATATTTCCACTTCCAGAACTATATTCATTTATTCCTCGTTGTAATCATAATACTAAGACTTGAACTTTTTCTTTAGGTTTATTAGATACTGTTTAACTTCTAAAAAATTAACAATTATTATACTTGGCTTAGAACTGCTCTTTAACTCTATTTCATTCTCTTCTTGCTACTTAGCTATTTACTTTTATTTCTCAAGTTGTTTTCTTTCTCTCGTTGTAAGGCCATCTTCATCAACACCTTCAATTCTAAACTAGATTGGCTTCATTTTTAGAGGTATCACAACCATGCCGATTCTATCCTATTTCTGATTTTCATTAATGATATCACGATCATCTTCATCATTTTGATTTTATTGCGTTTATATTTATTATTTATCTTCCTCCTTATTTCCTTATGATTACTCCGTGTGAATTCTCTACTGATCTGGCTTGTGATTTGAAGGCAAGGAAATTTAACTTGCAGCGCTGGCACAACAACCCATGATTATAGTAAATTATAATATTTAATATAATTTATTATTAAGATTGCCAAATAATTATGAAATAATTCTGGTTATTTCTGGGAGGTCTAAATGTTTTGCATAAGCCAAAGCTTTAGTAATTCTCATATACTACCAACACTTATCATACTATGATTATGATTACCTAATATCCCTTTAATCTAGTTAAATGGGATAGTACCAGATTTGAATCAAAACTATTCCATTATTGTATGAATATAATGGTACAATATTCAGTCTGATTATTTTTATAACAGCAAAATAATAGAAATACTAAATTTCTACTTATTCTATCAGTCAATAATGTAAGACTATTCCTATTTGTTTGTCAATTATCTGCTAAAAATAACCACTTTTTATGCTTATCTTTCAGCTTAACTGAATAGCAAAATGATGAAGTATGTTTAGATAATATAATTGCTATAATATAGATATGATGCTTCAAAAAAAAGAATTATTTCTTAAACCCTTTGATTCTAATCTAGTGTTCATTTAGATGAATAAATCAAAAAAAAAGATTCCAAAGATATAGCAAGAGAGAGTTGTGTTTTTTTCATTTAAAGGATCAGGTGTTAGATAAAACTAATTGAGTCTTGAGACTATTTTCTTTGAGAATCTTAATACTAGATGTAATATCAGCACCATCTGTTCTTCTCTACTTTGTTTTTGATTAATGACCTCATAACTCTCATTTTTTTTATTAATATATTCATTATATTAAAATTTATGTATTCAAATTTAGAAATTAGATCAAAATTTTCAATCTTAAGGTTTGGAAAAGAAAAGAATAAAAATGGTTGTTAGAATTGGAAGAGTTTAAGATTTATTTGAAAGCCTAAATGCAAAATTGCTTCTATTAATTTTATGAGTAAATTAGATACATTTGAAAATAAAAAAGATAAGGAAATGAACCGCTCTCTTTCTATTACTTAATTTTAAGGAGGGAATTACTACATATCAAAAATGCTATTGTATTGATAATTTAATATATATTAACTTATAAAATAAGAAAGAGTTATAGGGTTTTTAATCTATATTTGATGTATGGAAGATTGTGCTACTTTAGTTATGAAACAAGTAAGATGGTTGATGATTAAGTCATGAATACTATTACTGAATTAACTAAAAGAACTAAGGATATTTATCTACAACCAATCTAATTATTATTAGAGTAGTTATTTCTTTTTGAAAGCTCTTGGTCTTGATGTTCTTATAACTATCTTATGGGTGAGAATATTACTACTTAATTCAAATTTATATAAATATTTGGATGTTAAAGAATGTAATATAAAAGTAAGTGCTTAATATACTTTAACAATTTTAATTTATATAAATAATTAAAATCCCAAGCTGAATTATTTTTATGAGTATTGCATTCAAATAGAGTTCTAACTTGATATATGTATTCAATTCCTATATTTACTCATTATTATCATTGAAAATGCACTAGAAAATATTATAATGTTTGATAACTAATATTATAAATTAAAAAAGTATTATCAAACTTAACAACTTTAATTCGCAAAACTTTATACGCAGAAGCGTAAGAAATAAATAAATTTAATTAATGTAAGTGTTTATGTCTACTTGAATCAAAATAATGTATTTTAATCTTCTTTGAGCTTACAGTATGTAATATTTGAGTTTTTTCCTGGATCTTATGGGATTCTGTAAATATGGAACGTTTGTGATTGTATACTGTTGTTCTCCGAAATAATATTTTTAAAATTTTGTCTTTATATTATAATTGGATTACTTGGAACTTTAATTCATTTATATAAGAAAATAAATCAATGTTTTCAGAAGCAACCAAGGAAGCAAAATAAGATTAATTGGTTCCTCAATTAAATCAGACTCCCAGTAGCACATTCTTTGTATACAATTGTTACATACCTGTTGTCTAAGATTTTATGAATCAGCCTCCCACATTGCAGGTTCGAAATTCAAGTAAGTTTGTCTTGAGCATTCTAGGTGAATCTTTCCCGTAGATATTGAAATAAACAGACAGTTTACAAATGGGACATCTCGGAGGAGGGATGTCAATTCCAAGTTTTTAATTTGGAGCATCCACTCCTTTTATTAATGCAGAGGATGTTATGAGGAATGTTCAACCGCAAACTACTCAGAATCATTTCGCATCATTCATTTTAAATGAACAACTCAAACCGTAGAATCAGCCCTAAAAAAATAGAATTATTGAGGGAACACAAATTATGTGTGACATTGAAATTGTACTCATTTCTCGTTATTTCGATATGAAGGCTACTGTAATTGATTTGTGCGATTAAGATAGGTTTTTTGCTCTCCTAACAATAAATACAATTTGAAGGATGACACCTCCATTTCGAATTCCGAGTGGCTTAAAGATCGAATGTCCTACAGATACAAGAAACCCGTATAATTATATATATCAATAAACTAGATCAAGGAATCTTTCTGCGATATGATTGAGGTCATACAAAAGGAAGGCGAGGCAAATATGAAGGGAATCATCCAACCAGTTAAATTCTAATAAAATGGTTTCGATTCTATAGAACGGCAAGTGCCCAAAAGTGTGAAAGTAGAAAAGCCCTTCTCCCTTTTCATTTTAGAAATACAGCAACTCATTTCTTCATTTCTATTTAATACCTATTGAAAAAATTGAACTGAATGTTGTTTAAATGTTTATATGTTCCTTATTTCAACCATTTTCCATAAATTATTTAATCATAATGCACCGATAATGTTTCAACATTCCATATTATCCAAAATGACTTATTAATTATAAAATTTATATTTATAATAATTCTTAGAAACAACTGTCATTTGTAAATTAAAATTAAAATATTATTGTAATTAAATATATATATATATTTATATATCTCTAATCAACCCCATCTATACATTCCAGGTGGATAGAATGGACGTGCTATCATTTTATCAGAAGCTTGGTAATTCTTGATTGCTGGCAAATTTGCAAAGCTCTCATTATGATTCTTTAATCCCACAAGAGTTGCGAAGGCTTCTGGTTTGTAGTTTCTTAAAATTTCTTCTGCTTCAAAAAGTTGAAAATCAATGTAAGTCAAATTGTCTCCTACAGCCCATTTACGATTCTCCAAGAATTTACTAAGTTTCTCAGCTATCCAGAACACCAGTTGATTGAATTAATCCTCCTTCTTTGCTTCATATTGGTCTTCAGGGATTGTGAATAATGTAATCAGACCTTTGAACAGGTCTTACAGAACTCCTCTCACGGATGCCAGAGTGACCTATTCCTTTTGGTTTTGACCTAACAACTCTGGTTTATTGGCTCTGTAAGCCAAATAAACATAGAGTGCTTGGCTCTCAAAAACTAATTCGTCTCCATCCTTAATGTAGGGTAAGTTCACTAGGACATGCTGATTGAGAGGGGCAGAGGTGACATCAGCAAACCATTCTTCTGGTTTGTAATATCTCTTTTCCTCGTAAGGTAATCCTAGGTACTCCAAATAGAATCTCACTATAAATAGTGATTGTATATTTACATGGTTAAGCAAGACCTCTGATAGCCCAATATCCCAAGACAACTTTGTCTCCCATATTTTAATTAAATTATTAACCTGATTTAATTTTAAGGAGAGAGTATTTATAGTGCAAATTGCCTTATAGATTTGGAATATTCTATAATTTAATAACCCCAAAAATAGTTATTAATTATATTTTAATATGATGTAGAATAATTAATAATAATAGGCTAAAAAAGTGATAGGTGCCACTTTAATTTTGGAAGAGAAATTTAGCTTATATTTGGGGGATTTGGATGATGCACAGAATAAGGTATTTTCTGAAGTGTGATAGTGTTAAGCAATGGCTAAGTTAGCAGAAAATAGGGTGTGTGATAACTGTTGCAAATGGCTAACCTGTCAGTTATTACGACAACAAAATCAAACATCACTATTACTTTATAGACGATAAAGCAGATTTTAAAATATAAAAATATTTTTCAAAAGTTTTTCATGACATCGAAAGAGAGATCCAAACTACTAATGTGTTGAGTAAATTACTAAATTAATTTTTAGTTCATTGCGCAGCTGGGATTTCTCGATCTGCTACTTTTGTCATTGCATATTTAATTATGAAGAAGGGAATGTCGTACAAATAAGCCTTTAATCATGTGAAAAGTAGAAGACCTATGATTCGACCGAATCCAGGCTTTATAACTGTACTTGAATCTTTAGAATAAAAATAATGAAAAATGATTCATTAAATTATACAAAGCCCATATTCACGTTCCTTGCCAAATTCCACGATTTTCTCAAATTCATCATTGTCTGGAATTTCAACCAATTTGGCATCAATCTTGGTTACATATTTGGACTCCTTGATATAGCTCTTGCTCTCTGCTTGGATAGCCATTTAAGATGAGTTCTATTGCATTAATTATTAATATATATTAAATAACCCCTTAATCAAAATTATGGCACACTTTTAGGCTTTAATAACAGTTCACAAAATTGTTTGAGACCATCAATTCCTCTGACTTCGTTTTCTTAGAGTGGCATAATAACAACATGAAAATCATCATATAAATCGATCATTTGATCTAAGTATTTCTTTTGCATCTTAGCTCTGGCATTACACATTTTGCATTGGTCATCTAAATTGAACATACTATATTATTATACCTGGGAAGAGCACTTAATTTATAACTATGTTATGAATGTCTATTTTGAATTTGGTTAGTTCTTACACAAGTCTTTCAGTTTCATACATAGAAAGGAACTCTGGAATGCAAACACCAATGAATGTCGTTTTATTCTTGGATATATATATGAATAATGTATACTCTATCCTTCATTTATGCATTAACCTTAGTGACAGTGTCTTTCATGGTCTCAATCTTACTAAACATTTGATTCATTTATTGGTCGAATTCCTCTTGTGATCCAAATAGTCCTTAAAATTAAGAAGCCAAATTTTAGAAATTATATCTCAATTGCACCAACTTATTCAGTCCCTTCTCCATGATATTGGGAAAGTTGAGTAATCTCAATGTATGTCCAGTGGGTGCTGTATCGAATATGATCAAATCATATTTCATCTCATCCACAGAACTATGTTACTAATGATCTATTACTTCATCAATTCAGCAAAACTCATTGCTTCATCAATTCCTGGTACTGAACTGATTAATTCAGAAAGCAAAGACTTTGTAGCTTAGTCATTCATAAATCCTTAGAGAGTTGGCAATTTGAGTTTATCTGGATCTACTGTAGGATCAATTTCCATTGCACTTAAATTCTCTATTCCCTTAATTTAAGTAGGTTGACTTCCTATCTTCTAATCAAAACAATCACTCAGATTATGGGCAGGATCAGTTGAGATTATTATTGTCTACATAATTTCATAGTCATACTCTCTTGCCACTCTTGGCAAATAATGTTGCTAAGGAACTAGAAGTGGTTGTTTTTCCTACACCTCCTTTTCCTCCAACGAATATCCACTTCAGAGTTTGATTCTCTAGAACATTCTTTAATGTTGGTTCCACTTATTATTACATTATTTTAATTTATATAAATTTCCATATATTCCAAACTAAATGCCTCTAATATGTGATAAACCTCCTTTCATCATAGCACGAATTTAAAATGAGAATTTAAGTTATCATTAGAAATATTCAAATTTCTTTTTTTATCCAAGGATCTTCCTTTAATATTTCAGCATGTGGTCTTTAGTCTTTATTATATGTACAGCATCTTTTGATGAAGTTTTAGCATTCTTTCGAGAGATGAGTGGGTATCGGTGGACACTTCAAATTCTATATAGCCTCTAACAACTATGCTAGAGATTTTATGTTCGGCCTAAATCTCTATACAAAATTTGCTTTTACCATGGATGTTCTGCAGTTGCCATCTCTATTATAACACATCCCAAACTCCATACATCGACTCTCCTTCCATATTTCTTTTCTTTCAAAAGCAGTTCAGGAGCCATCCATTTGAAAGAACTACGATATTACTGTATAATAACCCTTTCATCGATTAACAAAATTCAGTATCTGACAAATTGATTGCTTCTTTCCAAGACGAAGATCCAAAATCTGCTATTTTGATCTATCCTCTTTAATTCGACAGAATGTTTCCACATTTCAAATCTCTATGTACAACTGCCTATCGATGCAAATAAATTAATCCATCCAAAATTTAAATTGTAAATTTTCTTATCAATGTCTCATTGAACTTTCCAAACTATTTCAGTCTATCAGACAAACTGCCGCCTATTTTACTTTACATACTATTACCATCCATATACTCCAAATAGACATTTAACATCCCTACTTCTCTCATGTAGCCATAATATTATACGATGTTCTTATGTGTCAATTTGGACAAGATTATAATCTCATTATCCACTGATTCTATTAACTATTTTCCATCCATTTATTTCACTGCAATAAATTTACCTTAGATGAATCCTACAAACACATCTCCAAATGCCCCACTGCCAATCTTCTTCCCCAATCTCAAATCTTTGAAATTGTATTCACATCCCACTGCCTTTTATGAGTCCTCTTATTGATCGCATAACATGGGTTTCAAGACCAATGGAGCAGGTTTCCTAATTCTAAAATCCTTAGGACTAAGCAATGTCTTATTTTGTGGTTCCGGAGAGTAAATCAAACAAAGTTAGGTAGTCTGATTTTCGCTTTCACTAGGATCGATGCTCTATTTCATTTATAAATAAAAAAAATAATAGTATTTAAATGAAATTCTGATAAGTAATGCTTCCCTAAATTACTATTATTAACATATTCTAATTCAAATATACTATGACTCATTTTGATTATATAAATAATTTCAAAAATATATAGGTTTGCTTATAATCAATATACATTTTGACAAAGAACACAATCAGCGCTCTCTTTTTGTTGATCCTCGAAACACTTTATATGAAAAACATGCAAACACTAAAGTTAAGCCTATTTTTCAAAATCTAGAAAATTCAAACCACATATAGCACATTAACGTTCTTCTAAATTCATAATTTATCTCTATTCAAAATACTTCACTTTAAATAATTTGTTTGAAAATTCTTATTATGGTTCTGAAGGTAATTCTTAATTATTGCCTTAATTTAACAGTTCTGGTATTGCAACTTATTCTTCTCTCTCTATATAATCTTACTGTTAATCATTCAAATTAGTTGTTTATTGAATTTTCAAAGTTAATATTCTATCTAAGTAAAGATCTGCATCATTAATAATAATGCCCTTACCACACTTAAGATTAGGACATCTCAAATAAGTTTATTTTGAAGCCAAATCTTCTAGACAAGAGGCACAAATGTAATGAAAACATTAATTTTGAAATAAAAGGCTTTCATTAATCAATTCTTTGCATTTACAGCATTACTAATCTTGATTTTTATTAGGTTTATATAACGCCAATTTTACATAATCTACTTAAATATAATATCCACATTATAAACAGATAAATTAATTTCGAAATTCACACTATTTTAAAGCGCATTCTTTGCAATAATAATGTTAACATGGAGTTTATATAACTTAATTCTATTCAAAACCTTTTTTACAATGAGCACATTTCTATATAGCATCCTAATTTTGTTATTTAGTTTTCATGTCTATCAAATAACTTTTGCTTTAGATCTCTTTTTATCCTTAAATAGTATTCTTACTGCAATTATTGTTTTGATATTCTTTTTAGAGATTCGAATAGAATGATTTGTATATGTATTCTGTACATCCAAGGAGATTACATGTAATATATTATACTGATTTTGATTGCTCAAATTGTTTCTAAATACAATTATAACACATTTAATGTTAACATTTTAAATCAATTAAATTGATTTTATTTTTGCATAAATGGCATTTTTTTTCAATTTGTGTCAAGATAAGGTAGTATTTTTCTTGATATTTGTATAAAATGATTTTATTAATTCCTCCATAAGTTTCAATACCATATAATTATTATGAATTCGAATTTGGTTGTTCAATTACAATAAACTAGACCTTAAAAGTGTCGCTTAAAAACTTAAACTAATCTGAAGGGCATGTTTTGAAATTATATCTGAAATATGATTTAATGACATCCTTAAAACATTAACCTTTAGGGTCTTATATTTTGACTTCTTCTATAAATGATTTAAATCTATTAGGTTTGTTTTTAGAATTATTGAGTAATGTATTAATTTTTTACATTGCCTAATTTTATTAATTAGACCAAAGTAATTATGATTAGATTATCTAAACTTAGTTGACTTTAATATGATACTCTATTAATCCTACAAGCATTGCCTCTTCTATTAACTATCCAACACAAATCCAATTTGTAAAGTTAGAAAAAGCTTTCAGATTGCTAGGAATACGAGTTATTTCATATTATCTTTAATTCATTTTATTATTTTATTTTATAGTATGATTCCAAATATAATGATGAAAGATCAATTTATTGAACAAAATTATTAAAGAATGAATAAAATGCAAATAATTATTCTACAACTTGTACATTAACTAATAATGCAAAATAAATGAAAATATGAAAAAATCTAAATTGTCTATTCGACACCCTATTTTTAAACCTATATGTAGTGGCAATAAAACTCAAATAAATTCATTTTAATTACATATATTAAGTAGTTTTCTACTTTTTTTGAGATTAAAGAAATTTCTTTTAACTATTATTTATTCTTTTAGAAATATCCATAAGAAAATATAATTACTATGTATTACAATATTCAATCAAGATTTTGGTGATTTTCATTCGCCAAAGCCATTCTCACAAATCATACTCTTTGAATTTATTTGATATAACTTAAAGTAGATGTGAATATAAATAATAATGACTTTTTGAGTAAGTAAAGAATTAATCTTAATTTTTTGTTAAATCTATAATTTATAATAGGATGCTGGAATTTTATATTAATTGAATTATTCATATGCTCTCTAAAGGATATCTATTGCTGAATAAAGTCAAATATTAAATTAGATATAATTATAAAAATTCTATTACTCTATTGATAGCAAGAATAAATTAGACTTATTGATTATCTTAAAAAATTAATATTTTATAAGACAAATGGTGAAATTATTAGAAAATCATTTAATTGAAAATCATTGTCATTAATCTAAACGAATGAATTACAAATATGAATAAGGATTTTGAAGTATTTTAACACAATATTAATAGAATTAGGTAAGAAGATTGTTTTATAATAATTTTTTTATTTTACTAAATATCTAATAAACTATTCTAATTTTATTTAGAAAAGTTAATCAATGAATTTTTAATAGCTTATTATTATGTAATTATATTTAATAATTTGTAATTAATTCTCCTTAAACTTAATATTAAATCTATGTTTTTTTTTTGACTTTTATTTTTAGTTTCAATAAAATTTGATTTTCCATCAAGAATGCTATTTTACTTGGGTATAATAATATTGGTAAAATCTTTTAAAGATAACTGATTAATACCTGTATTGATTACAAAGTTGTGTTATGATAAAGAGAATATTAGAATTAATTAATGCAATCCATAATAAAATCCTCTATAAAAAATAATCCCATAACAGGGAATACTGTTTGTAAAATTAACAATAGAGGTAAAAGAACCTTCACTACACATGATCATATTTAGAGTTCATGCGTTGTTAAGGGTACTCCTTTGAATAAAACTCCTAACAGACACAAAATCCCAGATCATTCAAATGACCATTTCTACCCCTAAAATAGTTCATCTTCTAATAGAAATTTGAGAAAGAGCTTAAGTACATTTCAACCGAAAGAAAATATTAAGGATCCTCTTAGTAGAAAGATTTCTAATATTTATGGATAGGAAATAAAAATTACACGTTCGCCAATAAAATAGTAATAGCAATCAGAAACGATATCTCCCTAGAAAAGAAGAATATTGGATAATAGGAGTTCACACGTTGATTAAAATGATGTTTATGAAGTGAATCTCAATTATAATAAGGAAAAATCACTGCCATCAGATGTCGATTGGTTCTATGTTGATACAATCAAACATAGACATGATTATAAAATTGAGTAACCAAATCCTAATCGTTCCTCATATAAAGATCAAAGAAGCGTATTAGATTTACATAATAATAACATTCCAAAAAACAACTATTACTAAAAGTAGAATGAAAAGTTGTCTAAAAAATAAGAAGTTGCACTTTAATATACTTATCTGAGAGCAGTTAAACGATCAGAATTGGTCATGAAGAAAAAATGATATTCACTATATTATTTATTAACTGAACTTGTATGAAAATAAGTTAATTAAATTGTATATTTTCATCTGTAGGCTCCAAGTATACTTAGACATTCTTGATTAGGTTTTCTCTTTGGAAGATATTACATTCGATGTATCATTATCTTATGTTTCTCTAATTAAAATGGAATATTTTATTATAACTAGTTATATTTTTAAATTAGTATTCTATTTATGACAAAGATATTATTTAATAAATTTTTAATATATAATTTAGTATCATAGTAGACTGAATAATGGAAGATCAGTTAGTAGATTATTAAATAACAACACTGACTCACATTTTTTTTGGAAATATTTCTTAACATTTCTTTCTAAAGATTCTAATCCATAAACATTTTAAAAGACCTTCAAAAAATCACTATTTCTTTTAATTTTCATATTTATTAATTATTTTCTTTAGTATGATGTTAACACTTCGAATGAAACATCTGATTATAAATAATTTGAAATAGGATCTGATCCTGATGCCAAATTCAAATACATAATTCTATTCTCTATTAGTTAAAGCGAAGAATTCTCTAATAAATCAATATTATTTTCATATATCGAATTATCATATCTTTTCTATTATTTTTTATTGGTCTTATAATCTTTTTAAACTATTGTTTCTAATACAGAAGGTTTGCATTTATGTGATTTTTTACAGCAACACAATTTCTTTCTGTAACTTAGACAAGTCAGACAGATTATAAGAAATATAAATGTAATTCCAAGGACAGTAAAAAATGTTATAATCTAAGAATTACAGTCGTTAAAAATATAACAAGTTATGTCCAAAAAGACTGAGCAATCTGAATAACAATTATCTTATGATTCATCTGAGGCAAGAACTTCATTGTCTTTTATGTTTTATTCTTCATGATTTTATTCACTTTCATGTTAAATTTCAGTCGTATTAAATTCTATTTATTTCTAATCCAAAAGTGTACCTTTATTGTTCAACAAACTGAAAGTGCAAATATTAGATTTATTCATATCACTCAATACATTTACATCTTTCTTTACAATATAGCTTTCCAATGGTTTTAAATATAAAGCTGCTGAATTTATAGGAATTACATTAATCGAACAATTTAAATAAGTATTAAACTCACTTTCAATATCCCCAACATTTGTGATTTAAGCATAAAGCAATCCATTTCCAGACTTTGCTTCAAAGTCTTATATTTCTGCTAAATCTATTTTACCCTTCCCTAAATTAACTACATAAGATATCAGACCAGTTGTAGTTATCTCCAGAGTTATCATGGTTTACATAGAACCCTCTACACTGTACTACAAATAAGTCTCATTATTCAAATAAATCGACTTAAATTTCCCATATCTTGATAATAAATATTTAGGCTATGAATTATTAGCAATTAATGCTTGATCTTCTATATAAAAATCTTCCAATTAGTTCTTTAAACAAGACTTCACTTATTTCTTACATCTCTCCGCCTCTGTACGAAAGGCACTATAAGATACTCCTATCTTATTACACTCACCCCGACCGACTTAATCCTTGGAAACTATCATAAATGCAGCTGAACCTGCCTAAACTCTGGCATGGCTGTTTGGTGAAGATGGTCTCATAAAGTAAAATGATTCCAAAGAAGGAGGAGGATTTAAAGGTGTGAAGTCTCCAATAATTCTACCAATCAAAGTTTTGCCTTAAACTACTTTTACTTCACTCCCCAATTATAGTTCCTCTTATTCTTAATTAGAATAAGTGATTGAAATTGTTATATTATAATATATGCTATAAGTGGATATCTCATAAGCACTTAATATTTACAATATTCATTACCTATACCATAAAGTTGAATATCTAAGACAGAAGGCCATTGTTGCAGTAGTCAATCCAGCCTTATGGCATATGTTTCCTCTAGCAAATTCATCACTAAGACCGATTAAATCAAGAATACCACAAGAACAACAGAATCCTTGACTATCAAATATTTTCTCTTTTTTTTCATATTGGAATCCACAAGTAGGGGAATTTGAATACCAACTATCATCACATGATAAAATTGCACCTGCTATTTTTACTTCATATGGTTGGCTATTATAATCTTCAGTATATTTTAATGGATAGAAAGCATAAACTGGAGTTTTGGTTATTGAAATAATAATAGGTGTTTTAAGTTATGATGTTTAATTATCTATGGTTGTTTCGCTAATCTTAATATATTCTGTCACAGTATTTTAAGCATTCTCTACTGTAAGAGAGATAAGCATTTTCTCAGAACATTCAGTATTATTTGTTGAATTTGAATAGCATTTGTTTATTTGAGATTACGAAATAATCTCAGCCATAGACTTGAGTATTAAACTAGAGACAATTATCACTATCATTTTATAATATTCATTTTTAGTTATGAAATTAAATAAATAAAACAAAATTTGAACTAAATTTGTAGTTAGACTTATAAAGCACAGTTATTTTATAAAATCAAAGTTGTTCTTCTAAATTCTCACAAGGATATCAAAGTATCAATAAAGAAATGAATTTATTTACAATCAATATAAACTCATTACTACTAATCCAATTGACTTTTGATAGTAATAATAATACTTAATATTAAAATATAATCTACTTTAGATTATATTATTTAAATAGTATAAAAACTGATTATTTATTTTTGTACAGGAAAGATAAATCAAAAAATCATTGATTAATTCTTTCCAATTTTCCTCTACAAATCGGACAAGTTTATCCCCCTTTTTATATCCAACAATCTATACACAGAGCATGAAATCTATGATTACAGTCGTATGTCTATGTTCTCAAAGGCAGGAACTGCTGGCAAATAGGACAAAAAAAAGGAGGATATGTTACAGAGATGTAACTTGTAATTTTATGATATTTTTTTTCATGAAAATTTCTTTTTTGCTCCCTTAATTCCTTTTAGAGTAGTTTTTCTTAATAATCACTATCATCACTATGTAATTCTTCTTCTTCATCACTTGAAGAATAATTACTATCACTACTACTACTACTAATACTACTGTCATTACTATTTAACCACTAGTAATTATCAGAATGAGAGTCGGAATCCGGATCAGATTCAGAGTCATGATCACTATTATGATTAAGAGTAGTGTCATTAAAGCCAAAAGAATAAATATCACCATTTGGATCAGGATCAAGATCATTTGTATTTGAAACTGAATCGAAACCTGAATCTGAATCCTAACTCTATTGATCTTAACTCGATTGATCTTAACTCTAATTCTTGATAAAAAAATTTTAAGAAAAATGAAAATGTCTTACTTCTTAGTCACTAATATCAATATCGATAGAACTTTCCGAAAAATAGTCTTAAACTCCCTTGATTTGATCATCATTATCAACTTCATCTGGCTAAAAAATTTAAGGATCATCCTAGATAATTTCTTTACGACTTTTCTTTCTGATAGTGCCTCCTTGTACTTGTACACATTACACATAGTGGCCAATTTAAAAGTTACCTTAATATGTATGGAATACCTATAAATGTTTTTCCTCCGAAGAGGTAAATGATTGTTCTTGTGTCATTTACTATTTAAGTCCCTAATCACTTCTTATCTGAGAGTTGTATTGCACATTCTGTTGAACATAAACTCCATCATCCTCAAACTCAGAATTTTCTATAAATTAACTCTCCTTGCAGGTAGAGAAATGGTACATATTATAACCTTAGTCTTGAATTTATTCAACGTTATTCATAAAATTATTCAATTATCAATTCCATACTTCCTTAAATATAAGCGAAGATAGAACATTCTAGAAAAAAAAATTTTTTATTAATCTCATTATAATAAACCAAATATAAAATCATATTAATCAAAAATTGCATCATATATTACACTAATTTTTATTAAATACACACCTGGAACCTATTAATATTTGAATTCTTGATACATTTTAAATCATTCAATTCTTTCAAATAATTGAAAAAGAACAAACTAAATCTATAATTAATGAGTTTCTATTTGAAAATTAAGCAAGTTTATTATTAATAATTTAAGGTTTATTGTTTAAAAAAAAATAATATTTTTCAATTCTAAGAATTTTGATTTATACTACAATTCTATTTGTAATATACGATCTTAAATAATAGTATTTTATTAATATAAATTTATAAGTAATAATATTAAAGATATTAGGTAAAATAAATCACAGCTATTTATTTTCTATTCTCTACTTTGATATTATTTAATATGAAATAGTGGAGGCAAGAACGAATTGGAATAAAATACTATAATCTTTATAATTGCTTAATATTTTGAATTTAAAATGCTCAAATTGCACCAACAATTCTTGGAATAAATCCTTTAATTAGCTCAATAACAGGCATCATTCTTCCACCTGAAGGTCCCTAATCATCACCATTATTTTCATCGTCGGAATACTCTTCTTATTATTATAAAGTTTCATCGGAATCCTATTCTTTTTGAGTGGCTTCTTCGACATATTCACTTTCCTATAATAAATATTGGTTTAAGAGAGATCTGACAGGAATTGATTAAACTTTATTCTATGAATTGAGTGTATGATTACCTATTCAAAAAAGTAGACTTTATCATTCAAGGTGATTTCAGTGTCTGGGACAACACAAATAGCTTGTCTCATATTTTTTAGGAGTGTTGTAGACAAGCGTGCAATCATTGATAAACTAAAGTTGATTAATTTATTTAATGGGTTTGATTAAAATATTATATTATTTTGTTGTTCATTTTTTAATGGTAGCACCTTATTGCATGCTGGGTTGATAGGTGAAATTTGAAAAATTTTAATTCGGTAATAAGGTACCATTGACAGGTGTGTCTTTAGCAATTTACTTGGTCATTCCTTCATCAAAGTACTTCAACTCCTTTTTGTCGAATTTATAAGGCGGTTGGATCTACATATATATGATAGGGATTGATACTCTATGCTAAATGATTTCTGCCATATCGATGCCAATAAAGAAATCATGCTTCATGATATCATATCCATCATTTTCATATCCTAAACGTTTTTTTGGCTAAGAAAATGAAAAAGAAGTAAGTTACATCTACAACCAATAGTTACTCCAATATAGATCGAGCATTTTCAGATAAATATGAAGGATATGGTATCGGTTAAGTTAATATCCTGCGAATCATTTCCTTTTTGTTTTCTTTGTAATGAGGAGGGGCTCCAACTAGCATTTCATACAGCAAAGCTCCAAAACTCCACCAATCACAGGTCTTATCATAGCCAGTTTCTAAGGAAGGTGATAGGAATAATAAAAACTTGTGGTGAGTATTTCAGGAGCCAAATATTCGGGAGTTCCACATAAGCTGAATGCAGTTTCGTCTTCTTCCATCATAATTTTGGAGAGACCGAAATCAGTCAATTTGATGTGACCAGTTTCATCAAGCAAAATGTTCTCTGGTTTAAGATCTCTGTAGATGATATGGTTTTCATGTAAATATTGTAATCCCAATAGGATTTCTGCTGCATAAAACTTAGCTACATCTTCCTTGAATCTTCCCACTTTTCTTAAATGATAAAATAGTTCTCCGCCTGGCATATAGTCTACAACAAGATACAATTTATATTATGATTAAAATGCATATCTCAATCTTACTAAAAAGATACTAGAACATGTTGCCAAAATAATTCTCTCAGTCTCCGTATGACGTTTTTATCTCTCATTCTTGATATTCTTCTTCTGCAACACCTTCATTGCGTAATATTTTGCTATCTCTAAATATATCCAATACAATTCGATTTATATTGAACCAACATAACCTTCCCGAAGGATCCCTTTCCCAACACCTTCAACAATCTGAAACTGTCGATATTGACTTTCTGAGTTTGCAAACCCTGTCCCTCAGGTTCTTATGTTTTTGATGCTATGTCCAATTATTTTGTATTTTCCTAAAATTCTAAGAAGCACAATCATACGTTGGACAATTTGATGAATTCATCTTTCTCCACTTACAATTCTGGGTCATCGGTCATCTCTGTTTAATTCTAATTTGTAATTTCGTTTGTCTAACCATCTCCACTAGCTCCATAATCGAAATGTGAATTTACGTTTAGGTTTCATTATTGATCCTTAGACTGATTCTGGTTTCTTGACTTCCTATCCTCCCAATAATTTCTCCTCGTCGTAATCGCGATAACACATATTCCCCATATTAATTAAAATACTTTATATTAATATTAAGTCATTCGAAACGAAGAATAATAATTATAAGAGAACACAAAAAGGAGGGGATTATGATGTGCAATTTTAATGTATTCAAGTCGTCATTAAAATAATTATAAATATGGATTAATAGTTTGGCATCAGATTTAATAAAGATAAAGAATAAAATACAGTATTTTTGAGATATAATGAATGAATTTTATCATATACTCAATTCAACTTTTTGAATTGCTCAATTCGAGATTTCTATTAATGTATAAAATTCTTACTAATTGTTTTATGGAATAATCTTGTCTTCTGGTTAAACTATCCCTTTGATCAATTGCCTTTTACTTTTGTTATTTCTCCTCCATCAATTGATTCATTACAGATTGTATTTCTCCTCTTTGTATAAAATTATAAACCTTACTCTAATGACCTTTGAAGTTTTCTTGGAGACTGAGGCAACATAGTGTCGACCAATGAGTTTATGATCGACACCCTATCGCAAGGCATGGAGCACGAACGAATATGAAAAAACCTACTTGCCTGCCTTTCTTTATACTATTGTCGGATTTATTCAACTATGGCAATACATTGTTGGACCACATCCTAAGATTTATTAGAAACGGGTGAAACAACAGTCTAAATTTTAGTAGATGATCCATTCACTGTCGAAGATTATCTAGTCAGTTTCCTAATGAATTTATTTGGAGATGGTGCATCCTATCGAATTATGATGCTATTATACAGGATTAGTGCAACCAGAAGGTGGCCTAGTTGCAAACTCCATAATGTTCAATGAATTTCTCTTTTTGATCATTATTTTTTGTTTATGTAATAAATGTATCTGTTTATATAATAATTAATAAATTGATCAAGCTCTTTTGCCTCCCAAGGATTCCCACAATGATTGCATACACAATTTCCACTCTCCATTCCTATCAAATTCTCTCATCAAGAAATATTGCTCTTGCAAAGTTAAATTAAACCCTAATTCCAACAAACCTTATGACAACTCCTCAAAATCAATGTATCCCTTAAGTTATTTATCCAATTTCCTATATTCATAAATGGCCATTAATACTTCATCAAGTCCAACAAGAAAGTATCGAAATTTGGATATCCATCTGCAAATAACCTTAATTTGGCTATGATTTGAGAGATGTCAGCCTCTTTGAAAACGTCTGGCTTTTGTCTCATATAATTAATCGTGAATTCATCTGCCCTCATCAATTAGAATTTGTAGACATTAAATTAGACAATGCCTCCCAATTAGAAATCCTTAGATTAATCGTAAGAATAAGTACCTTCTCAGTATAATAATCATTGGTTAATGGATTCTTTTATCTGGATCTCTCTTGGAATTTGCCACCCTTTTCAAATAATCATATTAGAATACCCATATTCCACTGTTCCTTTCAGATGTTTGATACACCTAGACAGTATCATCCCCGCAGTAGAAGGATATTATGAATCTTCTGGAATTCTCCTCTCTAACCTCACTGATCTATCTGGCTTCGAATCTGAGGATGAATTAATCTTAAGTGAAATTCTTTCGAACATCCTTCTTGGGTGGTTTTGGTTACAATGAGTACACTGATCCCAAGGAATCCTCCTCGTATCCATAACCATTATAGGGTGGAACAGGTTGATAAACCTTTTTGCCTCTCTCCTATTTTAATGTGGCAGGTCTTTGCATAGATTCAAATATATTACTTTTATTGGATTCCTAAAACATTCAAATAGTATTCCTTTGTGAAATCATCACATCCATAAATGAAGCATTCTCTTCCATAGATCTTGACTGTATTTCCACAAATTAGATCTTGAGGACTGTAAAATTCTTCCTTCTTAAGTGTCATTCCTGGATAATGAGTAAGAATAGGAGTTTTAGGGATCTTCTATCTTCTCAACATCAATGGATAAGGATCCTTTCCTGAGTTCTATTTTCTCACTTCTTTGACTTCGCATGTATCATCAGCCAAGTAATAGTTTAATGTGTAATAATTCAGTTAACCTTCGATGGAGGCATCATCCCAAATGACATCAAAAGAGAGGACTTTTCTATCATTTTATAGATATTTATTAAGTCCTCCATTAGGATGTCCTCCTCCTAGTTTGACTTCAAAATATTCTTTGTATTCTTTGGTGTCAGGTGGATTGATTTTGAGCTCTTTAGTTTCCCGTATGTTTTCAAAATTATCTCTTGGCATTTGTTCTGGTAAAGTCAAAGGCTTGCCCATATATTCGTAGAATTCTCTGGTGTAAGTGTCACAATCTTGAATTCTGAAGACCTAGAAAAATAAAAATTGGATGTTACTCTTTCATAAAAATTGATGTTGGAGCACAATTGAATATCTTCCCATTAGTAAAAGTCGTTCTTTCCCAGTTTTTTTGGGATCTTCTGTCTCTTGATGAATAGACCTTGAGGGATTCCAGCATTAGGGACTCTGGGCTACGATTTTAATATTAATATAATGTACTTCTGTCACATGTATTGTTCCATCTGATAAATAGTAATAAATGATGACTTTTCTGATTCTGAAGTTCTCGTTTGGGTTTTCAACAACGGATTCTTGGAAGTAACCAAAGAAACGTAAAACAGCTCGATCATATTTCAACCAGGGTGGTTGGATGCGAGGGATGTAATCATTTTCTGGTGGTTGTCTACTCCCATAAGTCAGATTGGGAGGAGCGTTGAATTTCATGGAATCCATTAGGTTTGGATCGAATTCCTCGTGGATGAAGTTGGTTTTCTCTTGCACAGTGCCATTGATGTGTGAAAATTGCTGAGTTTTGTGATGATTTTCTTTGAAGGGATCTGAGAAGACATGGCCAGGCAGGAATGGGACTTGCTTTGGGAATTGTGAATTGAGGGACATGTATATATAATAAAAATATAACTGATTATCTATTGTGGGGGATATGCAATATGAAATAAACAAAAAAGAGAGTTAGCTATATAAAAAATTAAAAACCTACCAACATTGAATGGATCCTCAATCTCTTGGATCAAATACCCAAATATTAGCTATAGCAATCGAATATGAAGAAAATTTCAGCAGCCTAATTGAGTAATCTTCAAGAATGTGATCAATTGCTGAAATCGAGTTTGTACACTTTCGATACAAAAATCAACAAATTCACATAGATGTCATTTACACTCTACCCCAACATGCTCATTGGAGACAATCAGGAGTACTTGGTCTTGTCGTCCTGCATAATGAGCAAGAAGATAATCCAATATAAGGAATTTACAGCCCAAGGAGTCCAATTGCTCAATAATCAAGGCAACCTATTCTTATTTTACGAGTCTTACGTTTAGCAATTAAATGTACGACAGTCAATTATTATTTCTAGTGGGAGAAGCAATTGAAGAGATTTTCCAAACAATAAAATTTTTCCAATAAATACACAATTCAAGAGAAACTTTCTATATAAAATCATTACGCTTGTGTGAAGAACAAAAACAGTATATATATTTATATGAACCAAAGATCGTGTCTATACTGTTTAACTCATAAGATTGTCGAGTCTGAGTGAATAACTTTATGAAGCTCTGATGAACGAAATAAACATCTTAATGTGTTTCAAACAAAATGGATTGCATCAGTTCCACTCTTTATTTGAGGATGGAGACATCCTCTACATATTGTATGACTATTGGGTAGGAGACACTTTGTATAAATTGATCCAACAAGGGTTTAAATTGACAGCTTCTTAAATAGCCCAAATAATCTTCCAGATTGTCAAAGTGGTTCGTTTTTTGCACCAGAATAATCTATATCATGGAGCCATACTTCCGACCAATATAATTTTGCACAGAGTGACAACTCCTTCGAATCAATAAGGACAATAATTGAAAATTACGATATTCAATTTTGCCTATAGAGATGCGAATCAATACAGTTTGGCTTGGCTGAATAAGAAAGTGCCAAAGTAATGGATACCGCCTGAATTTAACATCCTACAGATCAAACCTGAGTTTTCTAATATTGATGGATATCAAATTGGAGTCTTGTTGTACTATTTGACCTTCCACACAAATGCTAACAAATCATAATTGTCATTTTACAAATCGCTAGATAATTTTAAAATAGATTATCAATGGTTGAAGTCAATAAAATAGGAATAATAAAAGGAATACTCCTTTTCTCTGATTGAATTGTTGTGTGGGTTGTTGGACCCAGATTTTTAGAATAGGATTACTTTGAACAACGCTTTAGCTCATTAGTGGTTAACAAATCAGAGACAAAAATAAAATGTTTAAAATGAGAAACCTAAGATATTGCCATCTTTGAGGACAATATTGGAATTGAGAGAGCAAAGTTCTTGTGAAATGCTTTCATCTCGACTTGGTAAGGAGGAACTGCATGTAACAAGTTCAAGCGAGGATGATGTGGAGTTCTGTGATGATGAATACATACATAGAATTTCAAAAGAAAATAATAAAATACCATATTATTAAAATATACTGAATTTGATTCCAAACAAACATCCATCTAGAAGTAAATAAGTTATAGATTAATGTTAAGAGAGTTAATTTTGATTAAATATCTATATATGTATGATTAACAATGATTTCAATATAATAATTTAAATAATTAATTGGAATCAAATATGTTTTATGAAATCTTGCTATGTAGTTCATGGCTTTGCAATGCTTTTTATTCTTTAGATCTTGAGTAATCTTCCATATATAATTTTGAAAGTTGTGGTTATTGATAGTTGAGTTGTTGATACTGATAATGTTTTTGTTGTTATAATATGGCAAGGAAAGAAAAAAATATTGTATGTTTGTTTCTCCGATCATGATTATCTCACTCAACATAATATGTATGAAATAGAATATACAATAGAAATCTTTGACAATTACAACAGATATTCCTTCATCACATTCCTACTGCCAATAGCGATTTATTAATAGAATGACAAAGAGACATTTGTGAATCGATACTTTATGCTGATCAAGTTGTTGCATCTCCTCTTGTTGATGCTCTATTACAGTTTAATAGACTTTGACGATGGTTAGCCTCTGATCCAGTTTCTGATAGTGAGTTTGCTCATCCTAGCCAAAAATCATCATCACGAAGGGGAACCAAAGGTAACTCAAAACAACCTAACGATGATTGAGGAAACTTGCAATCTGAAGACTCAAACCGAATACGATAAGATAACTGATGCCACTAATGGAATAGTGGGTGTAATTAAATTAAATGAATAATTTGAAATAATTTACTAGAATAAAAAATCTTCCTACTTAATGGAGGATAAATCAATCAACGAAATATTAATGCAAGCCCCCACTCTGATAGACAAATAAACCAAGTAGCTACTCCAAGAATAATGCAATATCAAATTACAATCAGTCCAAGATTTCAGAGAATCCTTAACATAAATTTCCCTGAAAGAACTGCTCGAGATCATTAAGACGAACCTCCCTCTTCCACATTAATTGGATGTGTATGTTCTCCAGGATTTCGAAATGTTTTACTTTTAAATTCTCATAAACAAAGAGAGTTGTGATAAAACAACCTATAATATAGTGTTCTAGGATATGTCTGATTATTCTCATTACATCAAGAAGAAACACTCTCAAACAACTATGAAACAACTATTCAAGAGTTTCAGTCATGAGTTGAATACCTCTTTGAATTACATCTTGGCTCTGGCTCAAGTGGCTCAATGTCATGAGAATGTACCTAAGACAGTGTCAGAGAAGTATTTTCTGCCCATTTTACATTGCGGCAGGATTATGCATAGTTTAATTAGTGACATAATGGATTACAATCTAATCTTAAGCAAATAATTCAATGTAGAAGTGAGTAATTTTAACATACCATAATTAATAAGTGAGGTTGTCGATCTATTCAAATACTAAGTAAATCAGAAACATCTTAAGATTCAATTCCAAAACAACCTTTTGAATTATGATTTAGTTAGTGACAGAAATAGAATTAGATAAATTTTAATCAATTTAGTATCAAATGCACAAAAATTCACTTTTTCTGGTTAAATCAGAATCCAAGTAGGAGCAGTCGTCAACAATAAATAATTATGTGTTATCTTCCATGTATTCGATACAGGCATTGGAATGAAACAAGATGAAGTGGAACGATTGCATCAACTCTTGTCTTCAGGCATACCATAATCAGCTAGAATCTCACAAAATACAGCTGGATTTGGATTGGGATTATATATTTCCAACAAGATTGCTGAAGTGCTGAGTCAAACTCGATATGAGAAGGGAGGAGGATTGAGATTCGAATCAAAATATTAATCAGGGTTTCATGCTTGGTTCATGGCTAGAAATTAATCCTACAGTCCTGTCTATTAATAAAGCAATCCTACACCCATTGTTCGCATCAGAAAGAAGATCTAAATAGATACCATGGAATCGCAAATAAGCAGAGTCAATGCATTACCAATGAGATAGAAGTTTTCGTAGATCCTTGGAATCAAAGATTTCAAATCAGAAAGAGGATTGAATAAAGAATTGTCACTCAAATTGCGTTAACCACCATCCAAAATAGCAAGAGAATTGTTTCTTGCTGCAATTTCATCTGAAAGGAGAATTGAATCACTTAGTATCAATTAAGAGACAAATGATTAAGAATTTCAGAATAGAATCAAACATTTGAATGAAAATTGTACAAATAATTAGAAATGCAATTGTCCTCAAATTCTGATCGTTGATGATGAATAAATAAATATCATGGCTTTGTCAATGATGCTTGATCAAATGGGCTACTCAAGTGACTCAGTATTCAATGGAGAAGAATGTGTCAACCTCATCTTCAGTAATCAGAAGAAATGTAATGTATAATCTACTATTCTGTAGCCAAATGTAATAAATGCAGATCCTAACAATATCGTATGATCTTCATGGATATCAACATGCCAATCTTAGATGGCATACAAGCAACAGTCAGAATCAAATCCAAATACTCCAACATCATAGTTATTGCATGCACTGCCTTCTCGGACACAGAAACTCGAAACATTTGTTATAAAAGCGGAATGAGTTATCACATTCAAAAACCAGTCAAAAAAGACTAACTCATTGAAATACTATCTTATTATTTAAATTGATTATATATATAAGTATTTAAGTCTGTTTCATATTTAAACAAAATAACAACTTTCATTTCTCCTCTTTACCATATACCTTATCTATCTCCGTGTGATTCAATCCCTTTGTCTCCTTTACAGAAAAGTAAAAAAATAAAATGCTGCTGACTGTTAATATTGCGAATACTACAAAAGATCCACTCATCTGCAAACTACTGAGCATGAAAGGGAATATGTATAAGACCAGTAATTGCCAGGCGTATAGAGTCACAAAACAAAAGTAAGTTCCCTCACTTGAATTTATCTCAGGAGTCATAGACTATTTATAACTAACTTAATTACCCAAGTGATTGGACCCAATGTTAAAGCGTACAAAAATGAAAACAAACATATTACTATAAACTTTACTATTACTGCTGCCATAACGTCAGTGTAACTCAAGCCAATTATTAATATTTGACATATTATCATAAAAAATAATCCTGACAATAGGATAATTCGTTTTCCCCATTTTCTATAAACAAATGATGATATGAAAGCAGGGGTAAATTATACAATGCCTAAAATCAGTGTAAAGAATGTATTTAAAGTCACATCTCCATCTGACATAGATGCAAAAAACTGAGAGCTATATGAGAATATGGCAAATAATCCACACCACGTATAAACAAACATCAAGACACAACCTATCGCTAATGTCTTTCTATTTTTTCTCGTAAACAGACTCATTATGCCTTCTTTATGTTCTTCATCATACGAAACTCTTAATTAACTTTTTTGGAATGCTTATTCAACACACACTGGTTAATAAATATATGCTATTATTCCTTTTGCCTTTATTGGCTTATGTTTAATTATCAATGATATTGGACTATCCATCTTATACAGAATTGTCAATACTGTAAATCGGAATAAGAACACAACTGCTGGAATTGCAAATACAATCTACCAATAATGAGAGTCCTTTCCTCTCAAATCGCTGTTTATATAGCCTAAGCCCATGAAATTTGCAAAAAGCAACCCTCCACCCACAAAGAAACCTGACATTACTGAGAACTTATCATAGTATTTCTATGGACACAATTCCTTTAAATATATGGGCATTATGATGGTTTAAATGCCGATGCAAACTCCATAAAAAAATCGGAATGTTAAAATAACTTCTCGGTTTGGAATCACTGCAAAAATACTTAAAAAACCACAAAAATCTGCGATTATGAGTGATTAATTCCGAGTTGTGTATTTCAATAAGAATTTCGTAAAAATTGCACCAACAAGACAACCAATAGACAAAATTGCACTAAAAAATCCTTATTCAGATGTTTCTGATCCCTTTAATTCACTACCAGTTATATTAAATGAAATACATCTAAGAAAACACTGTAGAAAATGACATCGATAAGTAAGGCAAAGAGTAGCCCAATCCAAAATTACCAGATAATATTGCTACCATTATGACTGTAAAGTGAAATTTAGAATTCACATCCTCATCAATCTCATGATCTAACTGGACAGTATGGGTTTTATCGATTATCAATTGATCCTTTTATTTATAAACGGGAGGTTTAAATTTAGATAGTGAACCATGAGTGTGCTCTATTTCAAAATGTTCTAATTCATTCGTTGAAAATGGAAGCTAATGCTACATTTGTCAAATTTAATCACAAATATACAAACTTTATAAAAATAATATCACATTTAAGTTAATATTCTGTTGAATCATATCATTTAATATTATGCGTGAATAAGCAACATTGACATAATTAAACAATTATCAATATATAGTTGTATGAAGACTGATATGATTTTTCTTTTTAAAAAATGGAGATCTGATAGGCAATGCAATTCCCTGATTAATATAAAATATATTTGGAAATACGCACTTTGAGTTTTTATGAGTAATTAAATTTTTTAGTAAAAATATGCAAACACTTGATTCAACTGTTAAATGGTTCAACAAGACCGAGGGAAGGGACAAAATATGCAAAGTCATGCAATATGGATCCAGATTTTTAATGTGGCATCTTAAAACTAACTCTGGCAATGAATAATTGTCCAATCAATTTAAGAATTTATTTTGTACTTGATTTGTTTATCCATATATAGAAAGCACAAGAGATGCCAGAAAATTATTCAGATTAGCCAAATCGTTGAATGAATTGTAAACTATTATTGATAAAGTGGGTCAAAATTGCAAAACTCCTCAAGAGTAGGTTGCTCGGGCATTAAATATCTTAACCAGAGTATGGTTTTTATTATATTGGTAATCAAATGTATTTAAGTTTTAGGTTCTACGATAACTTGAGTGTGTTATCAACCATCAAGTTCACTACCAGCGACCCAAAGCCTTTGTAAAAAAAAGCAATGACATTTTGGTTTATTGCAATAATTACAAACTTGGTTGACACAATAAGACAATTGGTCGTCAACATCTAATATATCTAACAAAACAAAAATAATCAAACTGCTTAGCAATAGATTGTTAATAAGCATGTTTAAAATAGGACTCTTTATTTAAATTTGATAAAGATATTTGGAGATCTAATGCCCGCTGGTTAAGGATCAGAGTTTTTCCCCAAAGTATTAAAAATCAACCTAAACGATGGAGTTATTGGTCTTGGAGGTCTTGTATCAGGCGCTGTTGCTGCTTATTAAGCATATTGATTAATATTAAGGAATCATATTATAAAATAAAATAATAAAATGAATTAAAGATAATATGAAATAACTCGTATTCCTAGCAATCTGAAAGCTTTGTCTAACTTTACAAATTGGATTTGTGTTGGATAGTTAATAGAAGAGGCAATGCTTGTAGGATTAATAGAGTATCATATTAAAGTCAACTAAGTTTAGATAATCTAATCATAAATACTTGGGTCTAATTAATAAAATTAGGCAATGTAAAAAATTAATACATTACTCAATAATTCTAAAAACAAGCCTAATAGATTTAAATCATTTATAGAAGAAGTCAAAATATAAGATCCTTATGGTTAATGGTTTAAAGATGTAATTAAATCATATTTCAGATATAATTTCAAAACATGCCCTTCAGATTAGTTTAAGTTTTTAAGCGACACTTTTAAGGTCTAGTTTATTGTAATTGAACAACCAAATTCGAATTCATAATAGTTATATGGTATAGAAACTTATGGAGGAATTAATAAAATCATTTTATACAAATATCAAGAAAAATACTACCTTATCTTGACACAAATTGAAAAAAAATGCCATTTATGCAAAAATAAAATCAATTTAATTGATTTAAAATGTTAACATTAAATGTGTTATAATTGTATTTAGAAACAATTTGAGCAATCAAAATCAGTATAATATATTAAATGTAATCTCCTTGGATGTACAGAATACATATATAAATCATTCTATTTGAATCTCTAAAAAGAATATTAATAAAATCTTTGTATTTAATGTCATCAAATTGTTCCAATAAATCATCAAACCTGTTAGAGTTGCAAGGAATAAAATGAAAAATAATTACAAGAAACTTATATTGAATAAAAATAATCTAATGCTGAATAAGTTGAATAATAATAGAATTAGACTTAATAGAATTAAATAGATCAGGAATAAGATAAAAAATAAGATATTACCTAATCTAGTATTTAGAATAAAAATAATAATGTATAAATGGAAATAGAATATGATACATAGAATGCTATATAGAAATGTGCTCATTGTAAAAAAGGTTTTGAATAGAATTAAGTTATCTAAACTCCATGTTAACATTATTATTGCAAAGAATGCGCTTTAAAATAGTGTGAATTTCGAAATTAATTTATCTGTTTATAATGTGGATATTATATTTAAGTAGATTATGTAAAATTGGCGTTATATAAACCTAATAAAAATTAAGATTAGTAATGCTGTAAATGCAAAGAAAGTTGATTAATGAAAGCCTTTTATTTCAAAATTAATGTTTTCATTACATTTGTGCCTCTTGTCTAGAAGATTTGGCTTCAAAATAAACTTATTTGAGATGTCCTAATCTTAAGTGTGGTAAGGGCATTATTATTAATGATGCAGATCTTTACTTAGATAGAATATTAACTTTGAAAATTCAATAAACAGAATAAGAATCATAAGTTAATTAGATAGAATCAAAGAAAGAATAAAATTAATAAATAGGTTAGTAACAACATTAGCAAAGTAATATCCAAGCTTAAATGGTTTAAAACGATAAGAATGAAAGCTCTTAAAAGAAAATCTAAAATTAAAATAATTTAGAAAGAAGCTTAATACAATTAGATGAACCGTAAAATTGTACATTTTGCGGTTCTTCATTTACGGAATTTAATACTCGGCAATTTTTATCTCAGTGCTAAGATTCAAGACATTTCATCGGAGTTTGTTGTTTGATATTTCCATTAGATTGCCCTTAATGCCAATTCAAGTCACTCAAGATTGAAAAAGGTGTAAATTAATATTAATTTTAGATAGCTTTAGATTTTACTTACCACAAGCAAATAGTTATGATTCCTAAGTTTTTAATTAATATAATTGAGTTAAATTCAAAATTCAATTAATTTTATTCTTCAAATTCTATTGATTGCACATTCTTTTAAGATCTGGTTCTTAATTAAATCTGTATAGCCATGAATTCTGAAGTCATTAGACTTTAGAAAATAATTTATTTTTTTGCACCATTACGTAAAACAAAATAGGTATTGACAATTTACAAATATCTTCCATTCAATTTTATACTAATTTTCTTCACAATAAATAAATTCATAAATTAATGTAGTAGTAATAATAAGATCTTGAAAATTTTTCAGTAGATTGGTCCCAAGTAACTAAACCTAAATTGAGTGAAAAGAGAATAAAAAAATAAGAAATCAAATAAAATATACCAACAGAAGTGAATGTCTTTGAAAGAATCTAAAATTGTTTTAGATATAGGATTGCGACTTTAATTACTCAACTGGGATAACCATAATATTACTGCAAATTTGATCCGAAAATAAAAAGAACAGTTTAATCCAATAATAACTAAAAGAAAAAATTAGAAGAATAGTTATCTAAAATTGCTACTCAATTAGAATTGAGTTGTCGATTCATCACTAGATCAATGTTTTAAATAACTAGATAACCTTTACTCAAATCCATGGGAAGTAAATATTGTAAAAATATGAATCAGTCGATATACGAAGCATATTGAACAAAGCCATGAATGATAAAGAATTTTAGAAATTATATTTGGATTTAGATGATTAAAGTGAAGAGCAAAGAAAAAAGGAGGAAGAGACGGAAAAATTATTGGCTTAAATATAGCCGTTGTCTGAGCCTGAAGTCAGAGAAGAAATTGAAAAATTGCGGAAAAAACACAATTTAAATCAAAATTAATATTTATACGTAATATAAGGAGAATACTTTAATGATATGAAAACCTTATTTAATTCATTAGGTAAAGAATTACACTACTTTTTATTAGGTTGGGTAGAAATAGATGATGTTTACACATAAGTTTACGATTTTAAATTTTGCTACTTAAAGAAGTTTTTGCATAAACCTACTCCAGAATAAGTTGTAAGTAGATTTGCTAGTTCAAAATTATTAACAACAAAGTTTGGATTGGCAAGATCTTTGAAAAGTTGTTATATATTAGGAGGAGTTGACTCTAATACATTCTTCCCTAGATGTTACGATTTGAGTGATGAGGGTGATTTTGAAGACTTTTTGGAAGAGTACAAATTTACATTTGCAGAAAATTATATTAAGAAGAACCCAAAGGATGAATAAAAGATATAAATCGCAATATAAATCTTAAATTATAAGTTAATGTCCATTTAAGATAAAATCAATCGAATTGTACAATTTACTTGATATTTAGACTGCTGAAGATTATCCAGTTTGTACACCTTAACAATGGTAAATTTTGTATAAAAAACCAGAACCAAAGCAAGATATTGTTCAATTTGATAATCAAAATATAATGGAATCAGTTAAATAAATATTATAAGATCTTAGTAATGTTGACCCTTAATTTAAAATTTCTAAAGGTGAGAATATTTGGGTCACTAAACCTTGTGGATTGTCGAGAGGAAGAGGAGTGAAATATTTCAAGGCATTAGAGGATATACTAGCTTATACTTTTGGAGCTAAGGATGTGAACTTTGTGGCTTAAAAGTGTTTGGAAAATATAATGACAATTTAAAAAAGGAAATTTGACATTAGATAGTGGATAATTGTGTCTGATATTCAGCCATTGACAATTTGGATGTATAGAGAATGTTACGTTCGATTTTGTGGTGTTGAATATAATACAGATGACTTAAAAAATAGGTATGAAATTTATTACAATCAATAGATACGCTCATCTAACTAACTTTAGTGTCCAAAAAAATAATGAGGAAAATTAGGAGGAGAAGTTAATGATGACTTAAGAGGAATTTGTTTAAATATTAAAAGAAAGAGGATGTGACTTTGAGAGTTAAGTGAGAGAAAAATTCAAAAGCATCATTATAGCTACAATGAAATCTTGTTAAAAGTCTTTTGAGATAAGAAAGAATACTTTCGAAGTGTTTGGATTAGATTTCATAGTTGACGAGGATTGCAATCCTTGGTTAATTGAGGTAAATGCTTCTCCAACTTTTGCTTTTTCAACTCCTGTAACGGAAAGATTAAATAAAATTGGACTGACAGATTTGGGACAATTCATTGTAGAACATATCTACAATAAAACAAAAAAAAAGAATTATGGTGGATGGGAATTTATTTATAAATAAAAATTATGAATTTAATTTAAACTTATATTCCATCTTTTACTGATGTTCTTATTTTATGAATGATTTTCTAGATATTTTAAATAATACAACATTGAATACTAATTCAAGATCAATTAATAAGATAGCTTAGAAGTTTTTGTAATTCATTTTTATTGACAGGCTTACTGATATAATGAGACATGCCTATTTCATAACAATATTATTTTGTTTCACTATCAGTGAAGGCTGTGCAAGCAATAATAATTGGAGCATCATTTTTATATTTCTCAATTATCGCTTTTGTAGTAGCAAATCCATCCATTATTGGCATATTGATGTCCATAAAGATAAAATCATATAAACAATGGGCTAAACAGGTATATATAAGAATGTTTACCTTACTCCAATTTTATAAGTGCCTCTTGGCCATTGTAAGAGGAATCCGATTCTAAATTGAATGACTTTAACATAAGTTGCAACCCAAGGATGTTGATCATCTCATCATCAACAATGAGGATTTATTTGCAATTGCAATTAACAATAACATTATCAATTTCATCATAAGAATTTTGTTTGCTGGATTGATTTTATTGTGGAAAACAAGGAAGTCTGATATTTTAAAATTGCAGTCTTCTTTAATAGTCTCCTTCGTTAGTTTCCTCATTAATACTGTCTTAATCCTTCTTAGTATGTTGCATTTATATTTTAAAAAGACTTCCCAATTTATCCTTAGTTGTGAGTCTCTTCATAAAATGTCCTTTCACATGATCATCATGAAAACTGTTCACCTTTGGAACCATTATTGTGCTAAACTTGTGAGTAATTAGATTTTTAATAGCATTTAAACCAAATTCAATCTAAGATTGCTTGACATCAAAAACAGCATTTCTTCCTACTTTTATTATTCCACTCGAATTATCTTAAGGAGCGGTAAGAGTATAAGTGAGATTGAATGATTCATTAATAATCTTAAAAACTACTTTTGTCCCCTTAATCTCTTGACTACTATAATATCTAATTCCGCCTCCTTCTTCGTATTTCAGATTGCTTAAGCTCATGGCTATTTTATTACATAAGAAACTGCCCAATCCGAAACCAGCCGTATTGGTAGAGATCTTCTTCTCTTTTTTATAATCATATTTAAGCATTTCAGTGAGACCTTCTATTTCATTTTTAGTCATTCCTATACCAGTGTCTGATATTTCAAATTACACATATTTATTTTAGTCAATTGATTTTACGATTATTTTTATACCTCCTGAGAATGTAAATTTTTAAGCATTCTGAATCAGAGTTACTAATATTTATTTGAGTCTTCTGCCATCAGTTAAGATGGATTTTTCAACTAAGAAGATTTCGTAGGTGATTTTGAGTCCCTTCTATTATAGAGTATGGAAAAAGATGCTAATAACTTCTTCCAACAATTAACTAATCTATGGTATTATTATATTTTACATCTATTTTTTCTAATTGCAATTCGAGTTTCTTGCCTTTGATATTATTGTAATCAACCATATCTAATACGAAATTATGCATTATCAGTCCCATAGATTTAATGGGCATGAAATAAGAAAGTAGATCAGAATCAGAGTATTTTTCTATGGCCACTTATGCTATGGCCAGCAAGTAATTCAGGGAAGTTCCGAATTCATGAGACATAGTGCTTAGCAGTTATTTCAAAATTGCGAAGACATATTTCTATTTTTAGTACCTATCTCGTTCCTCTAATTCCAAAAATTATATTTAGAATTCACGCTAATAAATTATCTTTATGAAGTGACTATTGAGCTATGGATGACTGTAATCCAGAATTCTAATTATCATTGGGATTCTGTTTGCTCTAACTTAATCTAACAAATCTTGCAAAGAACACCCTGAACTCTTCCACTGGAGTATGGATTTGGATTAAGAGTCTATTTTATGGACAATTAAATCATGCAAAATAGATTTCAAACCGTTTTCTAAATTGTTAAGAATCGAGCTTGATTTCTCAGATCCTATTGCATTAAATTGATCATCCAAGTATAATATTGAGAAATTGGGATCTGTTATTCTTTCAGTTAGGCTTCTAGGGTTCGAATCATACCCTGTGTATAAAATTTTTGAGTGAATCATGATTTCTGGCTTCTTTTGGTATTTTTCAAGCCAGGCTTAAAGTTCAAAACCTTGGATTATTAATAAACCAAGAAAAGCAAATATGCTACGAAAAATTTAATGTATTTCAATCTCGGTTCCAAATATAAATACGATGAGAAGTAAAACTATATTTTATACTTGTGAAGTATATACCTGACCATTCTAACAATAATAGTCGGGAAACTTGTGTGTAAGCTTTTAAACGAACTATTATGTGATACGCCCCTGTAAAATATTTATATTGTGAATTCGGCATCAGAACAAAAATCAAGATAGCTTAACCCAACAGCATGGCCCTTTATAAAAGCTCTGGAAGATTAAATTTATTAAGCAAAAACAACGCCGCAATGCCAGCGAGCTCTAAAGCTAATGCGATAATTTCTTTTGGTTCTTCAAACTCCGTGAATGCTATAATTGTTGAAATAGTCTATGTTGTAATCAGACTAATAAAAATTTTCATAATTTAATAACTTTACTAGAAAATTATTTTACTAATCAATAACAACAAACAATCAAATAGAAATTGTTTTTTATCACAATGATATGAAAATATAATTTACAATTATTGTATTTAAAACAATTTATCAACATCAATTTAATTTGCTGTTGATTTATATTTCTATCTCAATACAAATATTAAATTCAATTTTAAATATTGTACGTAAGTATAATGTTAATCGCGAATAATTAATATAAATGAATTAATTCGACTAGAAGGTCCCTGATACTGTGCCTCTAGATATTTTATTGGCTCAATTGAAAAACCCTCTAATTGTCAGAGAAGATCATTAATAATGTATTTGGCATTTATATATTACGAGTTTTAAAATAAAGACATCATTGCATGCCTGAAATAATTAACAATAATTATGAATTACTTGCTGATAAATATTTACTTCTAAGCAATGCTTTACCAGGATGTTCTCCTGAATTAATAGTTGAAGAATTCTAGAAAGTCATCTAAGTCGTAGAGAAATGCTGCAATTAATTTATTGAGAAAATGAAAAAAGTTATAACAGATCTCTAAGCATTTGCCAATTATGATACCCAAGTGTTGAAAGGCTATCTAGTATAATCAACGGATATCTTTTAAAGATGTTTTAATCTGGTTGACAAAGATTTAACAAATTAGGATGTTGAATTTTTAATGGAGAATTTCACTAATCCTGAAAATACAATCTAAAGACATTTGCTAACCTTAATATTCGAAAGAAATCAAAATCTATAGAACGTTATGTAAAAAGTCTATACAGAATAACTAGATTTTTCAGCGTAATTTCGTGCTTAATTTGAGTAATTATGTAATACTAACCATTTCGAACCATTAAACAAATTATTAAACAATTAAAAGAAATTTTGGTCTAACAGGGTGAAAAAAGAAGTTTAGACCTAAAAATAATTAATGGAGGAACAATTACCATAATAATTCTTAGTTTAATCAAACATTCAATTCGCACCTCAAAATTAACAATTTTAATAGCAATAATAATAATTAGTTTAACCATAAGTTTAGTAATAACCTCAATAAGATGCATCATGGGTTAATAAGTCACAATCCATACAAATCGAACCTGGAAATCAAAAAATAATAGAAGGTCTGCTTAAATTTAGAGCTCATACACATGAATTAATGCAGAAACATGAAAAAGAATTTAAAATGGATATCAGAAAACACTGCAAATTAGACGGAGGCGGTTCCTTTGGGTAAAAAATTCATAAATTCATATTAGTTATTGTTGGACAGGTGGATATGGATGGAAGGGAGCTGTATATGAAAGTTTAGAATTATCAAATTAATGTCCTCAGTGCTAAAATTTAAATTAGGAAATGAATAACACAGCTAAAAAATTATATGATCTAGAATACAGGGACAAAGGAACTTGGTGGGTTAGGGCTTGGTTTTTGTATAAGAAAATGAAAATATTTAATTTATTACATAACATGCATAATAAATTATTATCAGTTTTAATCTTAAAACTAATTTATCACTTGAGAAGTTGAATTTCAACCTTAATATTAGATAATCAATAACATCTGAAAAATATAGTATAAAGAAGCATTTTAGTACAAGGGATTCTCATTTTTCATTTTTTGATCTTGGAGATATATATCTTTTGTTTCCATAATTTATTGATACTCGACAACATTTAAAGACTTATCAATATAATCTCAAATTATTCATCTGATTATTAAAAGAAGAGAAATTCAATTTGTTGAATTCAGATTGAAAAAGTGAAGATAATTAAATTCTATTTTCTGACTATTTAGGTAATAACTATAATCAATCTAAAATATTAGAAATAAATTTATTGGAAATACAGAGGATAAACACATAAGGAAGTGTTAAAAGAGAAGATTATCCTTAAATATTGAACTATCCAATCCTTATAAGAACTTGAAATTAATCTCAAATAGTTAAGAAATATGTATTTCATCATCAATCTAAACATTAATTTTTATAGGTTGCTTTATGCTTTATTAAATGTATGATATGTGCTTACAATTACATAATTCTTTAATTTTTTTGATTATCTTCTGATATATTATTTTTAATATTTTTATTCTTGATTACAAAATTCATTAAACATTAATCATTATTTATAATTTCTCATTTTCTATTAAGATGTCTGCAGATGGATTTAAGTGCAATTTGAAAGGCTATCAACAACCAAATTATTTAGAGGATGTCTAAAATAGAATAGAGTCTGATTAAACTCTTGAAAATTTCTTTAAAGATCATTAAGGGCAATATGAAGAATTTAAGAATTATTTGAAAAGAAAGATTTTTAATGATCTGGATGAGTTCCAATAGCATCTTGACAATATCTAGAATTAATGGGACTCTTAATTTAAAGTTGAATTAAAAAGGATAGAGGTTTTCAGATTAATTATGGCAATGTACTTAGGATTATTAGAACGAAATTTATCTAAAGGTGGATTCTATATTGTAAATATGAATACAATCAAAAATTCGAATAATTATATTTCCAAATAGAAATTGATGTGTTTTAAGAATTATATAAAAGCATTTTACTTAAATTCTGATAAAATTTAAGAAGAAAAAATAGTGTTTACTAAAAATTCTGTTAGCAAAGAAGATTTCAGAAAAAAATTTGAATAATCAACCTATTAAAAAATTGATTTTGAATTCACTTAATCGAAAAATGAAGATCATTTAAATTCTACTGTTGTAGATTTTGCTGATGAAAATATCGGAGGACTAGTGCTTGACGCCAGAAATTGCGCATAAGAGGAAGTAACATTAACTCTAAAACAAGATTGTTATGCTTATATTCGCTGAAGCTACTGTATGTATGGTTTTTATTCCACCAATGAAAGAAACTGAAGCAGTGTTGATTGAGAATTTGAAAAAATATAGCAATTATACTGGATACGAACAATCATTCTAATGCTCTCCATCCTTGGATCTTAAAGGAAGCTATAATATGTTAGTATATCTTAATCAATATTATGTAGGCTATCGACGCAAAACCTTTTTATACTGAAAACTAATTTACTGAAGAAAATATTTATAGAGAATTGATTAAGAGTTATGCGGGATTTGAGATATCACTAAAAAACGCACCCAATTCCTATATATCTACAGGAAGATGGGGCTGCGGAATTTTTAGAGGCAACCCTTATTTGAAGGCATTAATTTAATTTGTGAGTTTTGCAATTGCAGTAAATTAATTGAACCTAAAAGATAAAAAAATAATTATGAATTGTGTAAATGACTAATCCTTCTTTAATTTTGGAATGAAATTAAATAAATTATTACAAGAAAAGGAAATGTAGCTTAATTTAATAAATCTAAAAAAGTCATTATTGTATATGTAAAATGAAGTGAGTGATACAAAATTTTAATATCAAGGAAATAATATTATAAGCCAGATTTATTAAATTTTGATTCAGAATATTCAATAAGCGGTAGAAATACAATAAGAAAATGATGATTTAAATTAACCTTCAGAAGCTCAAGACATTAGATCAGAAAATGATAATTTAATTTAACCTTTAGTAGGTTAGGACATTAATTAAGAAAAATTAATAAATACTCAAAATATTGAAGGAAATAAAGAAAGTTAATTTAAAAGTAATGCTTAAATAATTGAAGAAAAACAAGAAATGTAAATTTAGAATGAAGCATAAATTGATTAAGAAAAAAAAGAAAGTGAAAACTTGAGTATAGAATCAAATAAAAATAAAAATTGGGTTGGAATAGCAACCATTCTTTTGGCTTGTGGTTGTGGTTGTTTTGTTGGAATCATTGTTTATAAAAAAGTTTTTAAATGAGATATATTTGTTATCGTATATATATTCATTATATGTCTATCAAATTAAATTTGCTATTTAGTAAAATAAAATGCCTATCACAGTAATTTCAAGTTAAAATATCGAAATGCTATTCAACAGTTAATACTAGAATTTTGAATAATTTACAATATTAAAAAAATTCTCTATAAAATTAGACTATTACAAATTGAAATTATAAACATAAGTTATAAACTAATAAGTATAAATATTGCTCAATTAAATTAAAATTATGTTTGCATAATAATTTTTATTGTAAAATTTATTCACAATTAGAGAAAATGTATCTGAAAATAAACCTGTCTCACTATTAGTATATATTATCAAATATATATTGACCCCTTTAATTAACCCATATTGTATATTAATTTAAATCAATTAAATAGAATATTGAATTTTCTATGCCATCATGATTTTTTGAGTGCTAGATCTTATCCATTTTAATATTCAACAAACTTTAGCCAGAATTGATTGTCTAAATCTGGTTCAATCCATTTAGAATCCATCCTGATCGAAACAACCACCACCTCTAATACTTTTAAAGTGAATTACAGTCTTTAAAAAATTTAAATAATGATGATTCATCATTTCCCATTTTCTTTAGTTTATGTCATTAGTGTATTCTCATTCATATAATATTTAGAATTTATAATGTTAGAATTCATCTAATTCCCCCCATTTTCCTAATTTCATCATAATACAAACTCATAAATTAATTAACCAATAATAAGTTAATATTAATATTCAATAATTCATTGTAATAAAACTATTCAGCAATGGTTTTCAGTAATTTGATTGAAATTCAGTTACCAATTTAGATACGCTCTATACTGATCCTTTTAATACAGATGTTATGTTGTCTTAATTTTTTTGATAGAATTATAAAGTTTTAATTATGTGGCCTTAAATACTAAATTCTCTTAAGAAATGAATAATTCTGAAGAAAAATTTGATTGCTTATATTTTTAGTTCTTATATTTTTATATATAACTATAAGTTTTCAATCATTTATCCATAAATTTTCTGAACATAGTTCTAATTTGATTTTACCGAAACCATTAATTTGTTAATTTCTTCAATATTTTCGTCTAATGCAGATGTAAATCCTTGCTAAAATCGTTAGAGTCAGCTTTTTCTAAACCCTTAAATTTTAATGCTCCAATTTAAAAGTAGCAGTAATGATGGCTTGTTAAATCCTACACAGAATTTACATCTTTTAGAGACACCTAGTATCATTATACATTTCCTTGTAAAAAATTTCTTACTCTTCATCGGTTTGTTCCTTCAAATCCAAAAATGTCCCTACCAAAATAAAAGGAAAGTATGCTTAAGTGATTTGTGCCAAATAACTTAAAACAAAATTCATCCAATTCTTTATTGAGTTAAATCCCTCTGACTTTGTGAGATCATAAACTAATACACAAAAATTCATTTGCTAATAATATTTGTTAATTGATTCTTACTATTTCTTTAATCCTGATGCATCCCATACCGAAAATAATTATGATGTATTCCTCATAATTCATATTAAGTATCCTCAAATACTATTAATATTTTATATTCATCGAATCCTTTTGTATTTATCCAGAACCTTCATAATCTGATTTGTAAGAATTGATTTACCAATCATAAATACTGATATCAAATTTTATGCGTTTCCGAACCGACGAGAATGATTTTGAAATTTTTCTTTTATTCACTTGACATATGGAGTTTTATTATAAAATATGATTTAAGTAACATTCAATTGGTTTAAACCACAATTAAATTTTATGTTAAATTTTCAAAATTATTAATTATTAATTTAATTATATTCTTCATGATTAATATCAAAGAATTTGATTTCTTATGAGTGGTTAATCAACAAAAATTAAGGAGATTTATTGGAAGGAAACCAAAATAATGATAATTCCATTAATCTTAATCAACCTCAAATTAAACTTTTGCCAATATCACTCGCAAAGAAATATTGATAAAGAACGCTTTAGGATTTAAATCATAAAGGTTTACAAAGAATTTTAGAGTAACAATAGAAATTATTCACTTAAGGCAATTTAGTATGTTTATGTATTTAATAAAATTGGCATTAGTTGTTAAATAGAGGGGAAAAAAAGATAAAAGAATTAATTAGAAGAAATATTGAAAATGATTTAACATTTTATTCCAGATAAAAAATTGAGTTGAATCCTCAGTAATGTAAGAAATATTGTTTAACATGTTATTGTTCCCTTATATAAATTTGCTTAAAATGTGATAACAATTAATGTAATGGATTAATTATCTTTCTTATGTACACCTGGATATTAGATAATGAAATGTTGTCAATAATGTTGTCTATTTAATATTAAAACCTTGCATCAGTTGTTTATAGCGTAAGGTTGAGTGGATAAATAGGTAGTTCTTGTAAATTTATTGATGAATATCATGAGGTGTAACAAATTACTTGGTCTTGCAATCATTTAAAAAATGCAATTATTAATATGTCTTAGATGAACTCGAAACTTAATTTAAATTGTTTTCAACAAACATTAAAGATTACGATGATGACTAGCTTTATCCTTGTGATCATAATATTAGAATTATAATAGTGGAGTAGAATACAGTTTAAATTTCACAATTATTGTTAAAATTGTAATACAGGATTCTAATTCCTGAGTTTATTATTTAGAAATTCACACTTTAAATAGAGTTTTAATAACGATAAATGCAAATATTAATTATCAGTAAGGATCCTAAGGTTCTTGGCTAATTACTTTGTTCAAAATATCAATTAATAACCTTAGATGTGATATTCTATGATTAGAGAACTTAATTAATAACTAAAACTTGAGATTGATTAGAAAGCTTTCTTGAAATTAATGAAATCTGTGAATAAGGATATATATGTTGTAAGACTAGTCTTTAATTTTTAATTAAATGTACTTCTAGCATTTGATCTCAAGATTTATAAATTTAGAGAATATAACTCTGGAAATCAGAATAATGCTGATCCTATTAATTAAAAAGTGGAATAAAAACAAGTCCTTTCAAT